CAAAGTATGGATTAAAAAAAAAAAAAGTTTTTAAAATATTAGAAATATTTGCAGTGTGGTGTTATAAAAAATTATTTTTACTATTTTTCATAAATACTTAAACTATTAGTTCCAAATATTTTGTAAATCATCTAATCCAAGTATGAATGTGATATTATAGTATTTTAATACATTATATACAATACACATCCTGCCGTCTCGCACTAATAAATTAAACGTTGTCGGCGACGCGTTTATTAAAAAATTAATCATAACCGTAAGCTAATATTATTGTCAACTGCTGTCATCGTACTAAAAGCCAACTATTTGTGTGTATCTCCGGTCAATGTTTTTTATATTACCAACATAATAATCTTCAAATGTATAATAATGTTATACACACAAAGTATATGGATCTGCCCAGATGTGTCTGGCCATACACACCATCAGCGGCGGGCTTTCTCCAGCCTATCATTATTTTTATTATATTTTATCATCGTTTAATGTGACGAGTTTCTGCGTTTTGTTTCGTTCTGTATTCTCTTTTTATTCACGATTCATATGTAGAGAGAGCTGTAAACGTCATAATATGATCAACGAATTGCGCCGGCATTTCGGAACCCGGTGGAGATTAAAAATAATATCTTATTATTCGTAATTATTTTTGCCGGTCAATTAGTGTACGTGAAATCGTAGACACAATTCTATTACAAAATCTAATATTCACACGTGTACGATAATTTACCATAGTGAAACATTAATAACAACATTAAAATCAGTGTCGATTAATATAATTAAATGTAACCGTAAGTGTATTATTATTCCGTCGTCGCGATGTACATTGTATGCAATTTAAGACGTAATTTTTAAACGAACAATTTCTTATACCTCAGTACAATCTTTTCGAATATTGAAAAAAAAAATGTTGCCACGTAACTTTATAAAACTATTAATTTTCCAGTTTATCACACACCGTATAGGAACTCCCTAAAATTCGAATATGTGTATCTAAAACTTAAAAAAAAAAATGATTTGTTGCTCCACAATAGGATACTATTATATTCATAACGCTACTTTTTTCTTTTACGAAAATTGATGTACCTTCAGTGGTCTAATGGATTACCATTGAAAAATGACCTGCGGTGTTAAGTAAATAGTCTTCTTAAAACAACTTCAGATTAGTAGGTTATATCCAATCAATATCCGTTGTATTTTATTTTTGAAAACACCACTATGAGGCTTGATTGGTTTACTAAAAAAATAATAATGGGTGTTCTATGATGTATATGTATGTAATGAATTTTTTTTCGTAGTAAATTATCTAACAAAAATTATTTCTCAAAACTCTCGTATTTTTTTTATAGCAGTGCAATTATTTTCAGAACTATTAAAATGCCTGTAATTAATCATTTTAAGTTTTAACTACATTAACTCAGACTGTAAATCTATAAATTAAATCTTCACAAAATACGAAATACGTGAATAATTATTGAAATAAATAAATATTATTAAAGATCATATAATGAATATATTTTACGTCTTATACATAGATGTTGTATGATTCATTTAATTATATCCAATTTTTAATTTTGCTTAATAATGTGTCATAAAATTATAAAAACTACCACGATTTAAATATTAGTATAAATAAATTATAGCATTTGATATTATCAAATAAAAATAACTTTGTTTGCGTACTTGAACATAAAAGTTTTTGTATTGATTCATTTTGGTTTAGAATACTAAGAAAATCAATAAAATCTATAGATTAATATAATTTGTAAACACAGTTTATCTTATAGCAAATTTAACGAAAAAATCATAAAAAAATCACAAAATAATTTATATACTACAATAATTTGTTATTTAAGATAACTTACTCTGGTGGACAAAAGTATATTATTTATTACAGATTTAATCTCTTTAATAAATACGTTGAATGTCAAAACATTTATTTTTTTTTTATTGTTTTTATAAATTAAAGTACGTTCATGTAACCGAGCTGCTTGCGCAGGCCAATAATACCGTGTCGAAAATAACATTTTATTCAATTTGAATATTTGAATTGTGCGAATCTGTTTTGGTCGATTTACTCTAAATTTCATTATAAGGAACGCATCCCGAAACCATGAATACTATAATATTATAATATGGAACAATATTTTTATTATTACAACGAAGGGTTTTGCGGCACGTGGTGTGGTGGTGGTGCGATAACGGTATATAGTAATTCTCAATCAAATTTCTAAACAACGAGTGTAGTTATATTGGCGTCCAAAAAATTATTCCGTTTGTCAATTTCAGATCAAAACGGATTTCGCATTATATTATTGTGATTCGTACCAGACGTTTAAAAAAATCCAACGAATAACGTGGTTCGATTTTCATATTTGCATGCCTCAGCTGTGGTGTTACACATAGTTATTATGTTTGCTTATAATACAACGATAGCGTTTATTATCAATCAGTGATAATGTTCATAGCGATAATAATATTATTATGTGTGCATAGAAAGTATTTCTAATCAACTCTAAGATATTAATCCTGCTGGTACGCCGTTTATGATCTGTATAATATGCATGTGTGGCGGATTAGCGTTATAATATCATAATGTGATCGGACTTTCAGTTTCTGCGAGTGTTTTTCATTTTCTGTCTATTTGCATTATTTGCGAATATTCTCACCGGAAGAGATTTCTTCGATACATGAATATTATCGACAATGCGTGTGTCGAAGGTACTAGCGTCTTTTTATCCTGATGTCGTTGTGCGAAACCGTTTTGGTGTTTCGATAGGATAATATAAAAATATTATAATAATGTAACTAAGCGTTATCATATTATTTTAAGGATTACAATATCGTATACTGACTCGCAGTTTTGTCATCCGCGAACAAAACCATAAACATCATCTAATGTATAATACATATTTTAATAATATTATATTGTGCACATACAGAGAAATCGCGTGCGATTATAATAATATTTTATTCTTATATCTACTTCTTAATCGTTTTATCCACTGCATACGTGAGAATAAATTTCTCGCATCTTATTATACATAGGAGTTATATATGTTATTATTTGTCTTTGTCAAAGACGTGTAGACTTGATACACTTTTGTTTTGGGATATTATGTTCCCAAGAAGAAAGAAACATAATTTACGAAAAAACGTATTACTGTGCTGGATGGAAAGTGTATAACATCCTTTTGCATTTACATACGACGTGTTGCACGTTTATACACGTAAGTTATAATAATATTTTGCTATGTTCAAATCCAAAAAATATAATTACAGTTTAATAATAGGTAGGTAAATATGTACCTACATATTAAGCGATATTATTTTAGGTCATAACTATTATATTATATTGTACTTAGATACTTAGATATTATTATTTATAATTCTATTCAACATTTAAAAAAGATTTTAAATTGTAATATTTATTTTACAATCATAATTTTGATAAAATTTACAAAAAAAAGAACAATACGTTGATACGTATTTTGTGTTATTATTCATATTTTGGTAGAAGAAAAATTCAAAAATGTTGTATAATAATCATTAACAATAAATAAATAAATAAATAATCAAATTAATGCAACATTCAATGTAAAAATTTAACAAATACAATGTAGGTTTTGTTGTCTCAATTATAAAATTATTTAAATTTACGGACAAAACTAGTAGTTAGCATTTTATAAACAAAAATAGAACTGAAGAAACCGAATAAACAAGAATAATTTCAGTAAACAACAAAAATATTTTAAATTTATAAAAATTATATGCATTTTTAGTGGTTGTGAAAAAAAAATAATAATATTATAACAAGACAGAAATCTTGTAATCTTATGGACGTCGGTGTATGTTGATTCGAAATAATCTTATCTTATAAGAATCTGAAATGCACAAGACGAGAGATTTACGTGACAGATTTTTTGAAATGTGTACATTTTACTGTACATTGATATATCGTATATACAACAAAGATGTAGGATTATAACAACTAATAATATTATCATGATATTTCGTATGGTGCTTATTGTGACTGACTTATGTTGTTTTTACATTGACAGTGATAAAGAGAGACCTATTATTTCAGAGCTATGATCAATATTTGTATATTTAAATGGTTTGGTTTTTCATGTTTTTTTTTTTGTTTTATAAAAACGTGAAATAATTCAAATGAAATTAAAAAAAATAACAAAGAACTAATTAAATTTAATAATAAAATAATAAAGAATAGTATACGTTTTCAATGAAGCTTAATTTAAAATAAATTAAATATCATGATTAAATTAAATAAGAACATGCTCACATAAGGTTCAAGTTATAAAGTGTTCTAATGTAAGAAATACAATATATACAAACTCACTGCGAGACTATTATTATTTTTAACTATAAAACATTATTTATTATACACATATACCTACTTATAACAACGAAAAAAATAGTAAAATAAATATTGGAAATCGGATGGGAGAATAATCGTATTAAAAATAAAAACCAATTTCAACTGATTTGTAAGCTCTTTCATACTACTTTATTGCGATTTTCGATTTACTGCGAAATCCAAATGATCAACATCAACTCACAACGCGTGAAAGTCTTCCAGCCTACACGTAATAAAAACGCATTATCACAAAAAAGAATTATTATAATATAGTAGACGTTTGGGTAGCCTAAAATTAAATGAACATTTATTTCGCGAAAACGGCCAAATAGGATTCTATATGGACATGCCCGAGGTGAAATAATAACATATTACATTCTACTCTGGTGACTATTATCCCGCACCCACCCCCTTACCACGGCGACCCTGCTAAGACAATATTACAATCATTGGTCCACATCGTAGACTCCACGAACAAAAATCGTGAGAGAATAAGAAGAAAGCACAATGTAAGAGGTCAAGTGCACGTTCGGAGGGGCGTCGGCTAAGAGCGGACCTAGCCGTTGTGACTCGTGCGCGTTTTCCGCTCCCCGCGTCGTAGCGGTAGTATATATATTGAATGGTCGGGAAACCCAGCTAACAGTGCGCCTTCTGGCATCGAAACATCTACATCTGCAGTCGAAGTGATTGCACAAACCATCAACTGTCGAAATCTATATCTTTACGCGTTTAACTTAACAAAACATTATTGTATTATTATATTGTACTCGACGTACGGTAATTTTCAAACATAACTCGATACCGGGTCTAGTGACAATTCGTGTGTAGAAGATTTGCTGATACTACGTATAATGAGCCGATTATCTGTAGTGTTAATGTGTGCGGTGGTGATTTTAGCGTTAGGAGACCGTTCTGAAGCTTACTGTGGGTTACGATCCGGCGACGGCGACGATGGAGGCGGTGTAGACAATTTCATCACATGTCTCAAAGCCAAGGCAATCGTAACAATGGACCGTATGTCACGGGACGACTCGTTACCTGTAACTGGATCACTAACCCTGGTCAATGGAGACTTAACTCACCGTCGACAACGGTCGGACCAGGGTCCAATAGTTAACGAACGTGAACTCCAGACAAAACCAGACGAAACACTTAACCAAATGCTCTACGAAAAGGCAGTCGGACTTTTCAGCGGCCGGGTTGTTAAAGTTGGTTTACCTGAAGTCACACCGGAAGAGTTAAGGACAGCCTTGGAAGAAGGTAAAAAAGATTTTAAATAAATACGTATGCAAACCCATAGGCATAATAAGTATTATAAATTGATGTATCAAGATTAATCTTATGTGAAAAGTTGAAATTTAAAAAAAAAATATTAATAAAAATGACTTCTGTTTTTATTTTAAAATATTGATATTGGACGGGATATAGATATTTACGATTTTTTCATTTTTATAACTCAATTAACCGATTTAGAGTAGTCATCCTAGATTTTAAATTTGTAATAGTCAGCCAATAACAACTATAGAAACATTAACCAAATGAATTGTTTATCGAATTTAAATGACTAAAAATACCTATTTTATTATTTATATTAAAAGGAAATTCAATACAATATAGTTTCATGAAATAAATTTATAAGTTATTATTAGAATACTTTGATTTCTCTTCAATAATTCATGACCATGTTTCTAAATATTTAAAAATATAATTATTATAAAAAAAAAAAATAATAATAACATTACTCTATGGTATATTTACCAGAGTTTTAGAACTTAAACTTTTGTTCGAATTGAAAACTCAAATCTTTTCAAATGCAGGTAGATTATTTCTGATAAAATATAATGTTATTTATAATAATTGTTTTTACACAAGTTATACAATAATTATTTTATAATATCACTTAAAATTAATTGACAAAATATTTTAAAAGCTTACTAAAAATTACACATAAAGTAAAAACCACATTCATACATTCATATGTCTAGTATCTAAAACTGTAAAGATTTAAAAACAAAATATTTGTGTACAGTTTCATTTGGATTGAATGTAGAATGCTTGAAGAGCATTGAACTATGATAGTATGTAAGAATATATTATCATATAATGCTTTTATAATTGAACATTTTTTTCTTCGTTACTTTATTATTCATCTGCAGCATATGAGCTCATATTTTAATTTTATCATTAAAGTTTATAATATTGAATCGTTAAAATGTATATATATATAAAGAAAGAGAGAGAAAGAGAGAGACTAAGGGTAGGTATAATGATTATAGATCTGCAGTTAGTCTATTAGATAGACTGACGGCGGAACACGTGTAAGATATTGTTATTGTAGTGATCAGGCGAGGATCATAAAACTGTGTGGCATAAGTGCATGTCTGTGCCACATATTTTCACAAACGGGTGGCTCGTGTTTTTTGTTCTGATAGTACAACACATTTGACGCGCAGCGATTATTCAAATATCAAATTAAAATGCAAAAGAAAATACTAAACAAACCGAAACGGAATTAGTGTACCATATATATGTATATTGAAATATTATATATTATGTTCTTCAATATATCTATAATATTAAAATAGTATAACAATAATATCGCAAGCGCTTGAGAGAGAGAAAAAGAATGTGTGTGTGTATGTGTGTGTATGTCAGTCCGTCACTAATACGAGAGCGTACTCCATTCGGACAAACGTACCGCTCAACATACCTACATACAATTTTACAATAATATAAATATGTAATTATATGTATGTGTGTGTGTGTGCGTTATTTGTAATAATTCCTTTCGCCAGGGCGGCGTTAATTACACATGATATGAACAACACAATGACGACAATGACAACAATAACGATAAATCTAGGGTTACGAATCATTCTTAACAATAATATGCGTTTTTCCTTTTTTTTTTTTTTTATACTGATATCGGCGCATGAAAACGAGTCGTCCTTGCAAACAGCTCGTACTTTAATTTTTCCATATATATTTATTTTACTAAACATTTGTCACATTTGTCATCGTAGAATGTTTCGCTCGTGCGATTTCCGAAACATGTTGACATATAGTTTAAGGCTTTTCCTACGTATTTTCGTATGTTTGTTTTTAAATATATTTAGTCTTCGTATTTAGATGAAATAAATGTATAAACAATATGTTTTATATTAAATTTAAGTCAATTTTTTTTTTTTTTTTTTTTTAAGTTTAAGTTATATAAAATAATAATTGTTGTCTATCTTAATACTTCTGGGTAAATGTTTGTGAAGGTCGTGGAAAAATGAAGAAAACCATGGGAATGATGATGACAGCGATGGGTATGAAGGCAATGATGATCATACCACTGGCGCTTGGCCTACTGTTTTTGATGGCCGGCAAAGCGTTGATCATCAGCAAAATAGCACTGATTCTATCACTGATAATCACCCTCAAGAAACTCCTATCGAAATCTGGAGGTGGCGGCGAACACATGGTCCATGAAAGTCACGGATCGTCTTCCGGGTGGCCATCGGGTGGAAGTTCGGGTGGTGGTGGATGGGACAAAAGATCTGCATCGTCGTCGTCAGAAGCTGCTGCTGCTGCAAGTCAGATTTTGGCTTACAGATCTTATAACAAGCCATATTAAAGATAAAATTACAAAAGTTAAAATTAACATGTTATTTGACACCATGTGTTAATCTCATAGTTATGATACGATTATTTATTATATTATTAATTAGTAGTATTTATTATTTATTATTATTATTATTATTATTATTATTGTTGTTGTTCAAAAAGATAATTTCAACCATCTATAATGTAATAGTTTATACTTCGAGTTTTGACGTTTATCCGTCGCCACACGGAAAAAAATTATAATATTTAAATAACATTTGTTTTTGTTATTATATTAATATAGGACATAACAATTTTACTATAATTTATCCAACGCCCAGTATCACCATCACCATTTTTATTTTATTTTTATGTACTGTAAAACGTGTTATTTTGTTACGATATTAATATATTAGAATATTTTCCATCCATTTATAAAATGTACTATTGATCATGTTATTTTCATATGATTATAGAAGCTAACGATTTTTTTGTTATTATATTATTGGGAAAACATGTTTAAATTATTTCGTACAACCATATCGTATTAATTATTCAATTGTATTTTTTTACAAATAGTAGCGACTTAAAATTTCATATTAATATTGGACATCAATTTATTAAATAATAAAACCGTAAAATATTATTTTCCCATTTTCGTGATCTAAATAGATATTTAATAATATAAAATATGTAATCAAAAATAAAATTTAGATACAAAAATTCATATACTAATTATAGCTAATAGTTAATGAAAATAAATTAAATTTTAAAATTAAAAACTTTAAGTATTAGCTTTATTTAATTAATTATATGACATTATATTATAAATATATAATTGAACAATTCACTTTAAAATACATATTTTTTTTTTAATTAGAAAAATGTTAGATTAAATTACAAAAAGATGTATAAATATTGAACTAAAATGTCAGAATATTATATTACGTAGGACACATCTTAAACTTTAATGAATGTTTTGATTGTAAAATGAGTTATTATTATGTGAAGTTATTATTACACTTTTAAATTCCTCATAACTCGTATTAAAATTTAAATGCAAATTAAAACCTACTTTACTTATAAATTATATATTGGTAACGGTTACCTTATTGCTATTTGCTTTTTATCCACTCAAGATTTAAAGCTAATAAGATAGGCAAGTGAGTATTGCTCTGCTGTATATTGGATGTCGATTATAGTGTGTTAAATTTAAATTAAATGATTTATCTCTGTATGCAAAAAAACAATTATGAACAAATACCAACTAATAGAGAGCCAGACTAGATCACTTAATATATTATTTCATGATATGTTTTTTAAATAGTTAATAAAATTATTTATATTATTTTTAGTATCATGGTGGGTTTAAATTATTTTTCTGAAAATATTGCACTTATTATGTCATTAATATCTCATTATTCCAAATTACATCAACTTATATAACTCAACATTTAATAATATTATTCTGTAAAATACCGTAAAACAATAAAAATAGGTTTATAATATAAATAAGTAATAGGTATCTAAAAAGTAATATAAAATATTATTTATAATAATATAATAAATGTAAATATTTTATGTCCCTATAATAGTATAATTATCAATTTTGATTTATAATCAAATAATTAACTTAAATATTTCAAAGCTTAGATATAAGAATAAAAAAATTTAAGAATATCCAACTGAAAAAAAAGTTTGCAATCCTTGTGATTTTGTCGAATTTCATCAAAATTCTTGCCTTAATTACATATAAAAAAAAATTTGAATATTTTTACATAGATATAAAGGCAACTAAAGTGGAATATTTTATTATGATTTCAATAACTTTTACCCAGTTAATATATTTTATTGAAATTTATAAAAAATATATATATATAAATATAAATAGTTCAAAAAATGTCAAATTATTTTAAAAGTTATACCATGTATAAAAAATGAAATTACAAGCACTTAGTGAACATTTAGTATCCAGTATTATTCAAACTACCTTTTACTTTTTGTTTTTTAATTTCGACATATACAAAATTTGTTTGGAAAAAAATAGATATGGAGAAATATCTATTTTAATATTATTAATAAATTATTATTGTAACCGATTGTATGTATCAATACTACATACACTAAAAGCCGCGTTACATTTACAATACTTAGGTGACAAATATGCTAAATCTAAAATTTATATTTCATCATTTTTGTATACATTTTTTCTCAATAATTTTTAACATTAACCATTATAGTATTAAATATTACAAATAGTATTTTTTTTTAATTATATCAAAATTTTAAATCGATGGTCAGTGCTAAAAGAATCAATTATTTTCATGTACACTTTCAAAAAATATCCAACACAACCGAGACTAGTTTCACGTCAATAAAAACATTATAATATGCAAAGCTCTTATTTATTTTATCAGGAAGTAGCATTTTTTCTATGACGATAATGTACATACAGGGTTTTATATTCGCATTCATACGACTGTGCATTGAAGATAAAGCTCAAAAGTAATTACAACAAGTCATAATAATATTTAAATATTGTACACAAATCATACGTAACTAATTCTAGAGTAACTGACGATAAATATTTACTCAAAACGTATCTAAAAAAGTTTTATATATTATTATTATTATACACTAAACTGTTGAAATTGTATAACATACACAGGTGGACTTCTAGATGGAAAATTCAAAATGGTCGAAACCATCAAGAAACCTTATGTACCACATTATGTGGCGAGTATTAATATATATATTTATTTATATTCATATTAAATATCTATGTGCAATCATTTTAATATATTAGCCAGGTATACACTATTTTGTATAAACTATTGTGTAATATTATATGAATTGGCGAGGTTATTAAAAAACCAGGCCTTTGAATTAAAATATATGTCTTGTCTATTGAACAAGGCATACATGATTTTATTAAAATAAAGTATAACATATACTTTCTCAAAATTACTAATATAATTTATACCAAAACACAGTCCATGTATGGCAGTAAATTATTTACAATGTATTAATATCATCGATTATTGTTTTGTTTTAGTTAGAAGACTTTTCAGTTTTCAGTACACAAAAGTCGAAAGCACAGCTAAATTCGAAATGAAGAAAACGTTTACCTATTAGACATGATTTTGTTGTTTTATAGTCATTCAATAATATAATTATTGTAAGTATTATTTTGTTATAGTATTTTAAAAACATTTACATTTAGGTAGGTATAATATTTCTTTTGTTTTAATAAAATGTTCAGTTCATTTTTACATAACATTTTGTCATTATATTAACTTAAAGTGTATCCAGCAATATTTGTTAAGCTAAAATTTATTGTAAAATATTTAGTTTAAACAATGTTTATAGTGTGCGACAAAATATTATTATTTATTTTAATTTACACCCTTCTTTGCGTTTAGAGCTATGGTTGGAAAAGTATATATTTTAATTACTAAAAATACTGTAGTTATTTTTAAGATAATCCTCCACGGACCAAAAGCAATGTAAATGAGAGACATAATTCATTTTTAGTGTAGCCATAAATATTATTAAGCCATAATAATTTAAACATTAATTGTAGATGCAATAACCCGTTGATTTTAAAAAGACGCACGTTTTCCGGTGCAGATTCATTTTAGACATGGACGTATGGAGTTGGACGATTTCGGAGTCAGACCATTGATCATTACTGCCAGTCCACTGGACGCGACTGACACCGCTGTCATCAAAAAATTACGGCCACGATATTGTTGAACAGACGGAAAAACCGCTTCCGGTATCAGTACTTTACGACATAATATATCGTCTGTATACGAATCGACGATTATCGTTGTCCTATACACCCGCGCCACGCAAAGGACTGACGTATAAACAGATGTTTTTCGGTTTTTTATTCTCAAACCATCGAATGAGTTATTATTGATACCTATTATTTACAATGTTGAAGAAAACTTAAAAATATTATTGATATTTTAATAGTAACTAACAACATCAATTATTATGATCCGTTTATTGATTCTGACCAAAATGTTATTTATCAAAGTATAAACAACATAAGTAAATTTAAATACTAAAATTCTGACAATATAATAATTGAGTAGATGATTTTTATTTTTTGACATATTTTAATAACAAAAATGTGCAAGAATTATAATTATAGTTAAAAACGTATATTTAGGTTGTACCTTTTTTGGAAAGATTTGACCTGTAAAGTAACTGTAAAGTAATAACATTCTGGCTTAGTATATTATGTTACAATATATCTATATTAATAAGTAATTTAAAATATGAACATAATTTTACTTCTTTCAATTTTATAAATATATAAAAATGTATAAAACCCAGTTCTTGTTGATAATATGTTAATGGTATATTTGTTACAAAGTAATCTTTCTATTTTGATAACGTTGTATTAAAATTTTAGGTACAACGCTCTGTGATATATAAATAAATTATATTTTATTACTTTAAGTACTTATATTGTATTTTTAAATATTTTTCCTAAATTGGGTAACTTTTATAAACTTTTTTTCTTGTTTCCATTACTTATTTCTTTTATATTATGTTCAACTATTTTATAAAGAAGACAAAATAAAAAGTAAATATACAATGACGTCTTTTTTAAATATTTATAGTAAAATATTTTTTTTTCAATAAATAAATTGCATAGCTTTTTAGACATTTAATGTTGGGTGTTAACTGATATTAATTATTTATTTTTAATATATGTTTTCTTTGTATGCAATAGTAAATACATAGTTATAATTGTACTAGTACAATAAAATTATGAGTTTACTTTGTAAATTACATAAAAAAAATGTTTAAAATAAATTTAGATAATTAATTATTAGTATACAAGGCTAGTTAAGTTAATAATTTAGTTAAGATTGAGATATATATACATCATATTATAATAACTATATTTATTACAATCAAATTAATATATATTTTTAATACATAAATTAAGTTAACATGAATATTATGAATATTAGTTATGCAATTGTACTTGTGTAATAAATAGGTAGTAATAAATAAAAATAGTTAATCTAATCGTATTTTATCAACTTAACTAAACCTCGGCTTCTAACTTAAAATAATGTAGTGATTAACTAGTTGGATAATTTCAACATGGCTCTTGGCTATAGTTCGTTTTGTGGCTTATTTAAATCATAGCAGAGGTCTTTAACAGTAGTTAGAATTACAAATAATTTTTGTATGATGTTCATATTGTTATTTTGCTGACTATAATTTTATTATAATTAAAGTTGATTGGTTGTAGTAAATTATAGGTATTAAATATATATATATATAGATACTTTAAAAATACTAAAACCGTTACTTTTGAGGAAACGAAAAAAAAAATGTGTGGTACGACCATTATATACTTTTGTTACATAATTGAAGGAAAATACCATCAGAAGATACATCCATTATTGAAGTAATCGTATAAAAAAATAACAATAATATAAAGCATGGGCTTTAACTATTTATCGTTATAGTTTTAATGTCAATAATATTTTACTTACATTTGTTAGTTATAACTATGATACATTTTGTTGTTGTTTAATATTTAAGATAACAAAATGAATTTTTTGTGATATTTTTCTAATAAGCTTTTTGAGTTATATAAACAAACGCGGTAATTAACAAAAATATTTTTCTAAATAACACAAAATTTGGAGTAATAAAAAAAAGTTTTAATCTTAAGTTCATCTACAGGGAAAAAATTAATTTGAAATTTAGCTGACATGAGTTGTGACTTGTAAACTAGTATGTTAAACTGATTAGTTAAAATAAGTTTAGTATTTAACTTTCTAACTGATTATTCAAGCCTTGTTAGTTGTTAATAATATTTTAGCTTTAATTATATAATCACATTTGTTAAATAAATATTTTTTTTATATCAAGCAATTAAGTAAAAAAAATTAAAAGTAATCAAATATTGATAAATTATAGTCTGCGGAACTGTTAATTAAAACATATATAAATGTGAATAAATCATACAATTTAAAAAAAAAAAAAACCAATTAACTTGTTCATTAATCAGACTCCTCTATGATAAACAATTTCTATTATGATAACGATCTATATCTGATGATAGTTTCAAAAAAACAATTTATTTTGTAACACAAACTAGCATAACATTTGATGATTCATTTGATGTGTCTTTACAAAAAAGAATTGTATTTTATTATAAAATATAACTTTATAAATTACTTTTTTATTAGCTAAGATATAAATGGATTTAAGGATTTATATTTCATCGATTGACGAATATTAAACCCAACCTAACGCAAGAGCATATACATACGAGTATACGACTGTTCCAATCGACGACGTTCAAAAATCATACATGTTAACAACGCCAACTGATTGGTTTTATAAAATTTGTTTATTTTTCTTAATCTTAAATAAAATATAAAAATATTGTACGATAAAACATTGAGCACAATCAGTTATTCATAATATAATTAAACATAATATACGAACGGAGAACAGTAGATCAAATAATATTATGTAAAAATAAAATATATATACGTTTATACTATATGCATAACACAAAAAAGACGATAAAATAAATAAATAAATAAATAATTTATAATGATTAATGTGTAGTTAGCGGTATTAAATTACGAAGTCTTTAGACGGGTTGCCGGGACGCTGTTACGCTGAAAATAATATCTTAATATTATTTCTTATGATGAAGTTGATATAAGGTGGGTAGCTGCAATAGGTTCAGTAGTGGCAGTCGACGTGATAGGATCGATTGAGAAACTTGTGTTCAGATGTCCGGAGTTCAGAGCGCTTCGTCTCTCTGACCGGATTCATGTTGCACGCCTCCGGACACAATGGATTGCGTCGAGGCCGCAGACGACATCATCGCGGGACCACCGCCTCCACCGCCGCCACCACCTCCACCACCGATGCCTCTTACGTGGGCTCTGTACGCGGCGAGCTGCGGATACGGCATGACGTCCGGCTGAGCGATGCTTCGGGCGTACGGTCCGCTATTGTCGTAACTTCCGAATGTGTCGGCAGCGCCGGGCGCGGCGTACTGATGTGAGTGCGCCATCACCGGCTGCTTGACGATCTCGTACGTGGTTTTGGACGAGCCACCGTGACCGCCGCCACTGAACAGCTTCTTGAACGCCACCAGAATGGCCAGCGTGAGTGCGATCTTGCTCACCAACAGCGCCTTGCCGGCCAACAGTGCCAGACCCTTGTACGCCATAGCTAACAGACCGCCTTTCAGCATCATCAGATACACCTGTCCGCCCTTGTCCTTTTTCTTCTTGCGACCTGCAAAAATCAACGGCGAACAAAACATAAGCCAAACGAAAAAATTGTACTATAGGATTTTTTTTTTTTTTTTTACGAAGTTTAAAATAATTTATTAAAGAGCCTGAGAGTTTAATTAGATAGCTAGGGGTATACATATAATTTAACTTGATCGTTTTACTGATACATATTTTTATACCTAATATTATTTCAATATTATTTTGACATTTTTTTAAATTTATATTATTAACTATTTGATATATTATTTTAGTTTTCAAATAATATGTTTAGTGATATTGATTCTAGATTGCCTCAAACAGTTACCAGCCGCGCCACAGTCAAGGATCACTTTTCATGAAATATACTATAGTTAAAGATTTTGGTTCAGCAATTGTGATATCCAGTGCAGCAGTAAAATGTCAATGAGTTGGTCACTTACCGAACCGAAATGTTCAATAGTGAATAAATGAAAAAAAAAATATATACAAATTATGATTAGATGCTACAACCTACCAATATCAGGTTAAAACTATAGAATGATAGTAATATTTCTAGTGTACCTAACTTTACTTTTTGTACATTGGTTTGAAACTTTGAAAAAAAATTTAATAATTCGAATCTTACACATCGTGTCCTCGTAAATATTATAATGTGATTGATTAATTGAAATCTATATTATCTCTTGAATTGTATGCGTCGTTCATACATCATACAATTAGAATACTTATAATAATTCACATATTCGCAAATGGGGGACTAGTTCCAAAACAGTAAGCATCTTAAATTAATATGCTTTTATTATAACTACATTAAAATTGCAATATATAATACATTTTACTAGTCTGGTATCGATTATACTGTACACTTGTGGTTTTAAAAACTTAATAAAATATTATAATTTATTATATTATTATGTTTTGTAATGTTTTAAAACACGACTTAAACAATATCAGAAGTGAAATGTATGCTAAATATTACATTACCAGTTAAGTACACACCGTCATCGAGGTCCCTGCTTTCTTCGAACATCTGTGGCATGGACAGCTGAAGCGATCTTGATCTGGCGAACCTGGACAGTTTTTCATACAACATCGAGTCTATTTTCTTACTAAAATCGGCTGAATTCTCGGGGATCACATTTTCAGCCACTTCACTGTTGTCTACCTCCAACGACCTGCCGTTAATTTCAGATTTCTTCACCAGAGATATACCTAAAATAATAACACAGTATTATTATAAGCCATCTCAATGCCGTTCTTGCAAAATATATTGAATGACGTAAGTAGGTAGGTACGATGATTCTGTAGAAATTAAATCGTATTATAAAATAACAATCAAACTCAACGTTCACATTAGCAGAAACGTTATGTGTTTGGATACAAGTGAAAACGCAAATGTCTTAACATGCGTGAAATTAAACAACGTTAACAGTTAGGTACTGTTAATTTCATTGAAAAAGTAGAAATACATTCATTTGACATTTAAACGTATTTTCGTTTTTTAATAGAAAACAATAATTTGTACTAAGTTCTTAAACTAAACGCATTGTATTACCTATGGTACATCATAATAATGTAACTAGGTGCAAAAATAAGATCTATGCTAGACAGTTTCTTATGTGCAACAAATCTAAAATAATTAATTACACACTACTTACGTAGTACTGTTATAATCCAAAAGAAAACCGTTTTAAGCAAATATAATATGATCCTGTATGTCTTGATCGATGGCAAATTTTCGACCAATTAAATACCACAGGTTTTAAATACCACGTTTGACCATATTTTATATTTTTACAAACCATTTTTTTTTGATAAAATAATAAATTATTGTAAAAACAATATTCGATCAATTTTCATTACCGTCAGTTATCTGAATATTTTCCATATTAATGGCTCTATCCAGCATCCGGAGTGCCCGACTCTTCAAGCACACCACCATTTCCGGTTGGTCCGAACATTGTCTGTATGCATTAAACATCATCCGAAAACCGGAAACTTCGGAAGTTGAAGGTGATGACACTTCCGAAGCCGTGCACATTGCGCAGCCCAAGATTGTTAACCTGCATATAAACAAAAAATAAGAAGTTATAAACCTGCATCATACGGTAAAATTAATTTAACAGATGTAACTGAAAAAAAAATGTATTCAATGTTTTGATGGAAATAACTAATAGGTTTTTTCTTCGTGATTCATTTGCGGGCAGTGTGGTGCAATGATCGCACAGCGTACGGGCATCGATTCGATCTTGGCACAGTGCAAAAAAAATACTAGGTACTTCGTAAGCTCTCCCTTGCCTTCGTTCTGATTGCTCCACCCTACCCCGTTGTTCCACTCCACTGGGAGTGATGTCCACACAAATTATCTTCTTAAAGAAGAGGGTAGCAGTTTGCTAGATAACCTCTACCCTTCCCAAGTGAAAAGACATAGATATAACTGATAAGATCGTTTCAATGAATTGATATGAAAAAAATAAAAAATGATTTATTTCCTACGTTTTTAGCGTATTTCCGATATCTCGTTATTATAATACATCTATTATACAAACGTATCGTACATTTGTCTGTGATTAAAGTGTAAATTCAATTCATTTGTAAAATTATATTCACAAAATAATATACAATAAAAATATGATGGTGCAAAAAATCCAACTGACCTACATGGGATTTCAAAAACTGAAATATTGTATAAATAGAATTTGTGCAATTCATGTGTGTCAGATTAAAAAATACTGTCAGTGTTTTTTTTTCTTTTTAATCAAAGCGAATAGCGTATTTATACGCTTTTTAATACTGTATTTAATACTCGATTCAATTTTTCAGCTGAAATATTTGAATCTTACATTTTAGTTATGGATATAAATACATATTATACATTTATATATATTTATGTTTTAATATACATACATATATATATATATATGTGTGTGTGTGTGTGTGTGTGTGTGTGTGTGTGTGTGTGTGTGTGTGTGTGTGTGTTACGGGCAAAGTATATAATTTGGGAATTTTCTACAACGCCCGGGCATTATATAAAATAGTCATCTTTTATTGGGCAATGAAGATAATATAATATTTAGTAGTAAATTATTGTCAAAAAATTAGAATCAAATTAAGCACTGATTATTATTTGTAAATTTAGATTAGCTAGTGTGTTATTTAGTTTGTTCTTATTGATTCTCTTACAATGGGGACGTTTTAGAGGTCTAGTTACGTCTGTGAGGTTAATTCTCTTAAAATTAACTTTTTAGTAACCACGAATTATTTGTATAGTGTAGTTAAATTGCGTACTAACTTAAAATTAAAATATAGAAAAGTTTAATGCAGATTTAAATGATTTGTTAAAAAAAAATTCAAAAAATTAATTTTTTACCAATTAAAAAAATTCCACGGAAGCAGTTTATGAAAAAATAAATAATAAAAAAAAATTAATATTTTTTAATAATATAAATAATATAGTATAAATATATTTTATTTAGTATATTTTAATAATACTTTACTAATAAATATTATATTATCTATATTGCCCAATATAAGAAGTCCATTTTATATAATGCCCAGGTGTTGTAGTAAATACCCAAATTGTATACTTTGCCCGTGACATGTATAATATTAATGCTAATTCAATAAATTATCACATAACAGAAAATTCAATTGCTTTTTTCTATGATGAATAAGTATTTAAAATAATTTAAGTCTTCATAATTCACGGATTATAGTTATAATAAAACTTATCATAAATTAAGACCATATTAAAAATATTAAAATAATATTATTTAGATAATTCTCGGGAAATAAACTCGTAAAAAAAAATTGTTATTAAATGATAATAATGTGCATTAATTGTTGTTGAATTAAGATGGAAATTATCAAACATAATATTTTGAATTACTACAAATTCAGATTGGAGATAAAAAAAAGTTTGTAAGGAAAATTTCTTAAAAACAAAATATAAAAGTGTTAATTTTCACGATATACTCATATGTTGATTTAATTTCTTTTAACAAAATTATAAGTGACGTCATGTTAAACAAAATTAAACTCGTAGCCAACTTAATATTGTAATTTTTCCCGTAGTCGAAAATTGAACATAACGTATTATTATGCTTTCTGGGTATTTACTTATAAATTCACTATTTTTAATTAATTTAAGACGTCATAAAACCATTTTTAACTAATACCGTAAACGTGGACAACATGACTTATTATATTATTGTTCAATTAGAACATTGTTCATAATCTTGCGAGTTGATTACAATTTAATAAGCTATGATCTAAGTATTATAATCCTTCCTATAAAAAAAAAAAAAAATGAACACAATAAAATTCTTAAGCCATGCATAAATGTGCATTCACTTTTCTTAACAATGCCTGTATTAAAGATTTTCACGGAAAAACAAATCATTTACATGACAGTGATTTTTTTTTCCATCTAGATATAAAAATGCGACTCTCGTCACTGTCGACGGGTATTGGAATTAGAAAGTGTTATTATAATATTATTAAAAATACGGGACAGGCACATGGGCATTTCGGAATAGCGCCAATTGACGTGTAGGAAAAATTTTTCCGGACTCTACAAGAACACGGTTGCTTGGAAGCACCTGTGCCTACTACGTGTCCAGATAGCGCAGTGACAATATTGTTAAAATATGTCACATTATTTATGGCACCCCCTAACGGTGTTTATTTGCGCATGCGTGAATTCGCTTATTATTCATTATATTGTAGCGTGTACGATACGATGTAAATCCATAATTATTATTATGAAAACAACGTTAATTGCTTTCGGGTTTAAACACCGAATCGCCAAAATAATGTGTTTACATGGTCTAATTTGTTTAGTAGTCGACTTTTACCGCGAGCGCACGCGCGCAAACTCTGGAGTGTCTCTGCTGCGCGCACGATGCATGAGTGTATAAGTAGGTAGACGGGCGGAAGAAGCCATATTATAATAGTATTATAATGGCAGAAGTAATAATAATGACGAGAATAATAATGGTAATAATACCGACGACGACGACAATAATGGCTCGCGTGTACGGTTAATTTTGCTACGCGCTTTTTCGGGTGACGAGGCAAAGTTATTGTTTATTTCCCGCCTTTTGTCTTCTGTATTAATTAATCGACGCTTTTATTTAAATCACCATTATGCCTCGCGCCACGCGAACCACGGGATCTGTGTGCAGGCATTCCGATAGGGACGACGAAACAAACCTCGACAGTTCACTAGGCCAATACCCCGGCGGCGAGAATCAATCGACGACGAAAAACTACGACGCGTGTGCTGTTCTTAGGTTTCTGGCGAAAAGTCGTAGCGAACACTACCCAAAAACATGTGCTGCGCGTGCATTGCACACGAAAATGTGTACAGAAAATTAGAAAACATTCTCAACAACAACGGCGTTTGCACGCGATGCCCGTACAATACTGTGGCCTACAAGTAAATTATGATTTCACAAACGGTCATCGGACGGCCAAGACGAGTACATGTCTAATGAATTTGTCTCACATATTTCGCTACAGTTTATAATAAACGTAATATATATATATATATATATATAGGTATGCGTACGTACTACACTCGAAACAGAGTGCTTGGTTTGGAACTAGACAATACGCGATAATATCATGTCGGACTTCCTGCTCTTTTTTTTTATTACTATCATTCCTACTCATTATGATTTTTTACTAAGTATTTATGATGTGTATAAGAGTTGTCTATCAACGAACAAAAAAAAAATCTGTGTAGATGACCTAATTTAAGATATATGCACACATATAGTATAATTAATGTATTCGATTTGTAAAGACATCATCGTATGATATAATGTATATATCTAATATATACATGCATATCATTCCCGCGGATTCGAGGAATTTGTTTATTGCGCACGCGTGCGACTCGTCGTTCGCGAATTTATACTACAGTAACATCCGTAACGTACAGTTTTTTTTTTTTTTTTTTTAATCGAACAGAATGCCTAAAATTGTTTAGTGTATTGTGTATGAAAGAAATATACTTTTTAATTAAATATTTTTGTAACAATTATACACATCCTGTGTACACAGTTTAAAATAAAGAAAATTGAAAAAAAAAACAAATTGTAATTACTATCTTAACAATGTATCGTTTCGATTAAATATGTGACTATAAATTATCAAATGAAAATTTAATATGTATAATCAAAAATTTGAGTATAGGTACCTACTATCTTCTAAAAATAAATAAATACATTATTATTTCGTGAAAAAAAGCAAAATTGATTTGTAAAATACTCAAGGCAAAAAATATATATTTTTAACTACCTAATAGTTTTGATTTAATAAGATTCTATTGTATACCTTGCACTGCATATTTGATAACCTATATAAAATACTTTTATTTTACAAGAAATTATAGTTTTATTAACTAACATATGTTGAAAATTAATAAAATAAATTAGTACATGTCTTACAGTATTCAATGAAATGTGTTTAATTATTAATAACTAAACGATTAATAACCTGATAATATAGGTTGTTATATTCAATTTTTTTAATAAATAAATAATTTTTAGTATATTATTACTACTTACTTTAATTTTTTTACATATAATTTTTTTTAATATACGTCCAAAATATCTTCAAAATAAAATAAAACAGAACATAGTTCACAAAAATAAAAGAGCTATAATTTTTTTCATCGAGTCATGTATTATGAGTATATTACATAATGAAATAAATATTTGAGAAAAATATATTTGTTTTAATAATTTTTATATATTACTATATCTAAGCTATTACTTTATTAAACACGTGGTCAAAAAAAATTTGTCACATTTTTGGACAATATTTTATTGCGATAGAAACATTGCACTAAAATTTATCACAGTCTAAAACACTATTTTTATTTATAGAATAAAAAATTTTAATTTAATTACGCAGACATGACACTAATCATTATGTTATATTTTTAAGCCTAGAGCAATTGAAAAATTAACATAAATGTAATTGTCCAATATTTTTGTTCATCTCAACAAACATTTCCACTCAATATCAAGTTATTCATAAATTATCAAAACATTGAATTTATAACTAAGATGGTCTAATAAACAGTTTTCAAAATATTTACCAACCTTAAATGGAAATTTATATAAACATACCTATAACTAAATCCTAATACTACAGATGGTTTTAAACAATTTAACAGTCTTCATATTATGTTGAGGTCGTATGGAATTTCTATAAAAACTATATTAAAATCAATCTGGTTAATATGAATATAATATACTTTTTATATTTTGCGTAGTGTTCTAATTACGTGTATACTTATAAATATCCTATAATAATATTTTAGTGAATTCAATTATAGTCACGATAAATTTTGATACAATAACTCAGCCGATTAGAAGAAATCACAAGGAAGTATTTATTTTACTAGTGGTTAAAAATTGGAAAACATCTGGTATTTCCGTGGTTCAACATTTAATATCCTGTACAAATACACTGTTTTCCCTATATCCCAATCTAAGTTTTGACTTAATACTAATTGAATTCGAAGACATATTTAAAAATAAAAAACTTGTGATTTAATACCTAATATATATTTAACAATGTACTAATTTTAATTTTTTTTTTTTTTAATCAAGTCCTAAGTTAAAGTATTTAATTTTTAGATATTCCTAAATAACAAGTTCGCCGTTGCAAAAATCAAATAAATCTAATGTGATTTTTAAATCTAACAAGTTGGTTTTAAAAATAAGACGCTCGACGGTCTCATAGTTTGAAGTCATAACGCGTTTTTATAATAACAGTATAGCTATCTATATAATAATATTGTTGTAATGATTTACCATAGCAGCGACGTATCCATGTCTGCAAACGGAAACGGCAGTGTTTTCCTATTATAATTGATCCAAAAATATAATAACCGCGGCGGTTGGTCGGTATCGACTGAACGACGGTCGGCCGGTTGTGGCTCGTTTTATTCGACCGAAATTGACGTCGTCCGCTATGATCGTCGTCCAGAGGAGAAGGGGTAGGAACGTGACGGGACGAAGGGAAATCGGACGGAACGCGGGTAGGTAAGTGCAATGAGTCGGCTGCTACTGTGGTGGAAAGGCATGTGTGCTTGTATGTTCATATGGGCGGGTGAGTGCCAAATATACGCGACGGACGGGAAAGGTCGTAACAGAGTGTAAAACATAATGAAAAGCGATCAAATTGATCCGCAGGTATTTCCGACGACACAGGTTTCGTCAATCCAGGCGGCCTTGTGCAACCAGGGTAGGGGAGATTTCTAAGTACAGCGAAAATCTTTCACGAAAACGACGACACCACTGACGTGTGCATACTATTATTAATATTGTATATATTACTATTATGTACCTACTGTAGTAAACACACGTCTAATATCATATCATTATAATTGTAATTATAAACATAATACAATATATTATACATTTTCATGTATCTATACACGTGTACGATGATTGGTATAGCCGGTATAGGTACATCGCATGTCGTGTACTGTTAGGAGAGGAATGTGCTTTTTTAAATATATTTTCACTGTTATTATTTTATTTTATTTTGTCGTCGGCTGGCTGATCTCAAAATAACTTCCGATCCGGGCATCGGAGTACTTCTTAATCGCTTCCTTTACCATCATTGACGTTTCCATACTGTACAAAAAAGTCTATGATTCGACCAGCTCTGTTCGTTTGATAGTATTCTATACTATGCATCACAACTGTATACATCGTATGATCAACTGTCGGTTTATTATAAACACATACTTTTTTGTTTGATATGAAATCTATCTTAAATTTTACATTGAATCAATCGATATTATCGTCATTACATATTCACTCTAAAGTTCAATAGTTAATTTTTACCAATCATAATTAAGAAGATAAGTAGACTTTTTTTTATTAGATTGTTTGAGTACATTACGTTTGATTAATATATAAAATTGATAAAACGCATATTTTTTTATTTTAGTCAATATTTTGCTTAATATGTGCCACACTACAACTAGTAAACAAATCAGGTTTTAGTAAACTACAAAACAATCTTTATTACTAGATGTATTGTAATATTAGCATACGTGTGAAATATAATGTGTAAATATGAATCATTTTCAAAAATATATAACACTTATTTTTCATTTCAAAATTTAAATTAATAATCTGCAAATAAAACATATCATATAATTTTTTTAACCAGAAATTTACTTGTAAATTTATCTATTTATAAAATTAACAATAATTATTAATTAATAGTTATTAGTTGATACAAATTTAATTCATAAGAAAATATCACGGTTCCTTAATATTGAACATATGTGAATCTTACATAATATAGTTACATGAATATGCATAGAGTATGCTAACTTCATCTGGTCACCCAATTTTTTAATTCTTACTCAAAATCTGGAGTCTATTTCAAAATATTTTTTACTAATCCTGTGATTCAATATATTAGGTTCAAAGACAACCTCACACAGGTTATGATGATGTTTTAAAAATTTATGGCTTCATTAAAAAAATCATTGAAAATATCTAAATTTAAATTTTTTATTTAAACTACTCAATGATAAAATAGATTGCAACACTTTATTAGAGAAATTTATATTCAAAACAAACTAAAAAATATCAGGAACAATAAATTATTTTTATTAAAAAACATTTATTCAAATTATTTAATAAATATAGCAACAAATATTCTAATTTCATTAGGTAATTCTGTCAATCTATATCTATTTTATTGTTATGTTAATGATACTAAACAAATTTGCGATTTAATTTTATCTTATAAAATTATCAATGAATATATCATTGTAATTTCATTATTATCATTAGTAACATCTTTGTATTCTATACAAAATTATCCTAATACTCTACACATATATTTATAATTATTTATAATTACTATACTTACAACTGTAATGTTTATTTTTCTGAAAATTAAGTTTTTTATTCTTAAATTAATAAATATTAATATTATAAACATGATAAAATAGAATCAAATTTGAAACAAAAATAATAGACAAAGTGATCATTTATTAATATTTAATATCACAGTAACAATTTTTGTCAGATATTAGGAAAAGTTTTTAATCAAAATGTAACAGAATTTCGATATCAAAGCAATGTTGGAAAATTTTAAGGTCTTCATGAATAAACCTGCGTTAATTAAAAATAATAACGATATAGACATTGTAATTTGCTCAATATACGAGAACCGTAGAAATTACCCAGTGTACCTTAACATAATTGCATATGGCTAGTTTAAAATAAAAACTGAAAGCGTTATTTTTTTACCCCGAAAAACTCTCCAACCTATGGAACATCATAGAAGACAAGCCACGCACGTACACATTGTCTAAGACGTCCGGAATTTGTTTAATGGCTAGAGTTTTTGGCGTGAGCAACAATGGCATGCAAAGTCAATAAACGGGCCATTATTATTCGTTATTGTGAAAAGTGTTTAAGCATTGTTACAAAAGTGTGTCGAGATGATCCTGATTGCTATTGATTAAATACCTCTGGGCTTTGATATCCTATACAGTGGAATCTGTAACAATAAATATGCGAAAAAAACACGTATGGGCCCGAAATGGTGTTGTACTCAAATTTATGAAGATATACCTATCCGGGGATATCTTCGGGATTAATGTAGATCGACGTAGTTGTTCGATTTTCTTGTAGTGCTCGGCCGGGTATAATCGACGATGGTCATATAAAAATAATATAATATTATACACGTGTATATTGGATTGGTTCGGTATAACTCATCCGTTCAAAAATAATAGTTCCCACCATATTAAAATCGCATTCAACCCATTATTACTGCTGTATATAATACGTGTGTATTAGATAATATTATATTGAAAAAATATCAAATACATTGAACAGACTTCATAAAATATATAATGATCCCTACACGATGATTAACATAAATAATTTATTAATGCATAACATTTTTAAAAACGAGAGAAAGATTTAAATATATAAAATTAAATGTTAGTCATTAGTGTACCATATTAGTTTTTTTTGCTATTATTTTAATACACAATTTAGTAAAACAATGTAGTAGTTATACACTCAAATGCGATCACTACTCAGATTTTAAGTATAATTCGTGTTCAATATGTATGTCGTCTAAGTAGAACAATCGTTTATTACAGTCGAAAGACAAATATAATAATTATTAATGTGCCAAATATTATTATAGGTATTACAGTAAGTTTAAACATTTGCGGTCAATTCTCGTCATAATAATACATTTTTACAATTGAACAGCATATATTTATATATAATATGTGTATTGACACGAAGATATAAAAATTGTGTGCAATTGAAGACAACTGGCCAGTTAAGGTAAACCAATTGAAAACTGACAACATGCGATTCGAAATAAATATTTTTCTTCTGTCGGTATTGTCCATTATTGCTCAGATATCCAACTCAAGTCCGTCTGTGATTAATGGAACACAGACCATGGAATTAGATCAATTGATACTAAAAGATGATGCAACCGTGGAGAATTCGGATTCGGCAATCGAAAGAATTTCAAAAGTTTTGGACTGTTTTGTGAATTTATCAAACGAAAGTGGCGAGACTACATGGAATAAATGCCATGACGTATTTTCGTCGATTTGGATTTCGGTACGACATAAGCTGTTCGACAACGACAGCGAAATCGGAGATATTCGCACAACTGGTAATTCTTTATAATTCTCCATATCTAATACCAAAAAATGATATTATTATTTTTATTTTTGAGTACCGAATACGATGCTTTATGATGATTGTTTGCAAATATTTTCTTCCATATGAATAATAGTGAATACTTTAATTTAAACTATTTAAAGTTTCCACACATAATTTATTAATATATTATGTATGAAATTAATATTAAAAAAAAAAAAAAAAAAAAACTGGAAATAATCATGTATGAGCTTTATCTTTTCAATATATATTGAATATTAATCTTAAAGATTGACATACAAATAAAATTTGTATCGAATATTAATTATCGAATCAATATAGTTTGTCATTGATATTACTTTCCTTTGATCACCTGAATTCTAAATCTGTGGTGAATTTTATAGTGATATCAGATTATTATAAAATAGTATAATATAATAAACTATTTGGATTTAATTTTGACCAACTTTTAATTATGTCTAATTTTTTTCTGCGAAAATGCCATTATTACTTCTTAACTTTTCAGAAAGTACAAAATCGAAGAAAAATAAATGGAACATACAGACTTTAATGCTCGGTGCAGGAGTGAAGCTTATTTTGTTCCTACCAGTTTTGGCTGTTCTGACAGGGAAAGCAATTTCGCTAAGTTTGACATCACTGTTGATCACGTCTTTGGGTTTCCTTTACAGAAACCAATTGGACTCGTTTGTCTAACACAGCGATTTTATGTGGTATATTAAATTTATACTACAATATATTAATTTATTCGATAAAAAAATACCAACTGATTTAAAGTACAACTTATACACCACTATATTATATTGTAGTGTTTACCCAATAAAGGCAAGTATTATGACATTATTTATTATAAAAATATAATAAAATTGTATTTTAAACCAATATGAAGATTATTACAATATTATTATGAAATACTAGGTCTGCAAAAATTAAATTACAAATTATTATAAAATATTTATAAATCTTAAAGAAATTTTATCTAATTAAATGTTCATTGATTTAATTTTCCATCAGGCAAATGCACCGATCTGGAGATATTTCATTTCCATGCACTTAGAAATAAATGTTTACCTTTCCTAATAACTTTTAGTATATACTAATTAGTTTAATTTTTTATTATTTATTTTTGATTAAATATCTTCTACTTCTTAGAATCATGATGATCTATCGTGTATTGCTATTGTATGTATATTTATATATATATATATAATATGTATATATAGGTACTAACGTTTTGAATGCGAATAAATAATATTATTATAACTATTTAAGTTTATATTATTTACATAAGTTATATTAATAGAAGTTTTACTGTGGAAATTTAGCTTATATTCAACTGTTGTACAATTACTAGTTAATGAAAATTAAAAAAAAAAAAAACCTATACCAATTAATAAGTAATAACTAGTCACATAAATTATTAGTTTTAATATTCTATTATAATAATAATTATATTAATATTCTTGTATGTAGTTATACGTAGATATTAAATTCATTTTAATCATTAATCATAATACATAATATATATTATATAATCTAGTTTAAAATAAACATAAATAATAAAATGAATGAAATTTTTTTAATTTATAAACATTAACAACTATTTTTTTATACACACGAAAAAAAAAAAAAAATTGGTTAATTCTTCATGTAACAAATGCAATATTATACATTTGAAATTTGTAAATTTCCTGACTATAGTTAAATAAACTAAAATAATTGTATGATATCTGCTGTTTTGTATATTTAACAGTTTAATACATATAAACTACTAGTTTTTTAAATATGTTGTATCACTATATTTATAACTTGCCTATAATATTTTTATATTATATTAATATGTATGTTTTATGTGAAACTGTTTAAAAATCTACGCTGATCATCGTACAACAATATATTTTGACTCAAAAATCTGTTGAGTATAGGCTCAACAAAGACATTTTGATTTATAGTTTCATATTCCGTAGAAGAGAAACGCCGATTTTAAGATCAACGTTTTGACGTGTCATGGTCATAATGACAGCTTGATTTTACACTGGATATGTGCATAAAATCGTTTATTATTCGAATAAATTTCTCACGTTTAGAGTCATTTATGTCGCTTTTATTCAAAAATTGTATTTTTTTTTTTTTTTAAATAGATGAAAATCTACCGGCTGGAATACCTAATTATTTTGTCCACATTAAATTATATATTCCGTTAGCAAAAATTTGCTTGTTAAACAATAATAAATCTATAACACGTGTTGCTATTAATTGTCTGTGTACGAACCATCAGTTATCCAAATAAAAGTAAATAAACTATTTTCATTTTTCTTTCTGTATAACGCGAATTTACACAAATGGCACTCACCTAGTATTATAAGAATTTCAATAATATTGAAATACCATTCTGCATATATATCAGAGACAACCTACTAAAAAACTTGGGACAAAATGTAGACAATATAGTAGTATCCAAGTATATAATAATTATTTTTATTTTTTCTCAAGTGAGACCTGCGTGCCAACGATATAAAACGAAAGCAATACTAGACTCTACAACATAGCAGTATAAAATAATAAGTTAGTTAGAGGTATACTGTTTAAGGGAAAAAAATAAATCTCCATAAAATTTATCTATGTGTATTATTATAGTTTAACACGTAATAAGAAACGCGCGTATTGTATTAACACTCACTCTTACATCGATGAATGCCATTTTCGACGTTTATTATTTAGGTGAAGTAAAAAATAATATTATGCTCAAGATACATATTTTAATACTGTTTGGGGATATCAAACGTTATGCATTCCAATCGTATAAACTCAATATTATTGTTATTATAAGTTTCTTTTTTCCTCGAATCATACCTGAATAGATCTTGGGATACTGTCGATATTTGTAGTTTGTTGAACGTTTTTCAACATTTTAAACTATCAAATATATATAAATAAAAATTAAATTGCATACCAAAATAATTATGGATTGTGCATTATATTATTATTTTGTACAAATACGCATATGATAATATCATAATGTTATGATGTACCAAATAAAAACTTAATTTTTCTACTATAGCCTGTGTAACTAATGAATAAGTAAATTAATTTTATCATATCGTAGCAGAAGTTAAATATTCGTAATTAAATGTAATATAATTACGTATTATAATATATAAATTGTAAGTAATAAATGCTGCTTTTTATTTTAGTAATTATACGTTGTCGTCGTAATAATAATGATTAGTATTTAAATACTTAACAATAATATTTTATTACAATAAGCTTATGTGTTATAAAATAAGTTAACAGGCATAGTTTTAGGATCGATTTTAATATAAAATCTCTAGGAAACCAAGGGGGGAGGGGTTAACTTAAAGAGCTCAGTTCACCAAAAAGTTCTTCTAGCCAACTTAATATAAATTATATGGATAATTAAAATATTTTTAACGACATAATTAATTGCAGTGAATATTAAGAGTGTATTTAATTTTTTTGATTTAGAGAATAAAATCTAAACAGTAACTAAGTTTATAAAGTCTTTAGCACCTGCATCCAATTCGATACAAAAACAATAGCATCAACAAATACTATAATATAAAACGCTAGAAATTTTAGTTAATTTAAACCCTGTAATAGATAAGAAATCGCCAAATAATGGATTTTATGGATCTCATAGTTTTGAATAGAATCTTTATGAATAATTGTTCATACCTATTTACCTGTGCCTAGATAAATGTTATCCAGTTTTATATTTATATAAATTTTATTTAACACTAGAGTTAGTAAAAACATTGGCAATGATGATATAAATTATAACTATACACTGCAGTTATAATACTATACAAATCATAAATCAAAATAATTATAGTTTCGTGCCAATTCTTTATACTTCATAGTATCATTTTTTCGCAGTCATATTAGGTTGTCGTACCATCTAATGAATGTAAACGAATCACCGGGCAATATACTCAAATACCCATACACTGCAGTGTGTTATGCGTACAATGTCCCGTTGGAAGAGCATACTTATAATAAAATATAATGTTTTCATTAACATTACTTTCTGCGTAAAGGCTGTGCTCAATGCCCGACGCACATTCAGTAATTATGTTTCATGACCCCCTCGTGACGATAGCTGCGTCCTGCGTGTGCAAAACAATAATATAATATTTTAACACCATTCAACAGTATGATTACAATAATATTGTACGGATATCACATCTGAGTCATAAGTACTTGGACATCTATAGAATACGACAGTCAGTAATGCTGTTATACATAAATATAATATTATAGTGTATATCTACAATGCTAAGGAATTTTACCGCTACAGTCGATCGTCTCATATTTTGTTGAGATAATGTAATGAATATTTTTGTACTTTTTAAATTATATTGTAATTTTGTTGTTTTTTTTAATATACATACGTTGTCGATTTATTTCAATACTTACATACAAAAGCGGTTATAAAAAAAAAATAAATAAATAAAAATATTTTCTCCACTGCAAAGTGAAACATTGAATCTTATTGTACCTATATTTGGTAGTCAATGGAGCCAATAGGCTACATAAAATCATTAAGTATAACTATCGATATAATAAAATAACGATTAATATTGATAAAACTAAATACCGATTATCTTTGTTATTATTTAGTACCTAAGAAAACTGTAACCATAAAAAAAAATGTGTTTTTATCTAACTCAAAAAACATATTTAATACTTTTTTTTCTCAAAATTTTTTACTTGGCAATCTATTATAAGTTTGAATAATAAATTGAATTCATAAAATAATAAATAAAATAAAATAATGACATGAAAATAATAAAATTAAAAAAATCTCCAATTTGAAGTACCTACTGTATCGTGAGATATTAGTTACAATAATAAATTAATAAGAATAAAGAAATTTTAAATAATAATGAGTTAATATTATGTTAGATGCCATAATGATCTATAGGTTTTTAATATACAATATATTGAAACAATATTTAACTGATAATTACTAACCTGAGGATTTATGTGTTATTTAAATTATATATTAAATAAAATATTTTAATAATTTATGTTAGGTACTCTATACTTTATATCTAATATTAATGGTCAATTCAATATTACTTATAAAATATTTTGATAACATTAAGAGAACCTCATACCTGCATACTGTGTTGTCTCCAATATACAAATGTACAACATAGTAAATTTTATGTTCACAATGATCTATTTTACCCTGTTATTTTTTAAATTAGATTGAATTGATGAAATAAATTAAAGTTTAAATCATTATATAGGTCATAAAAAATGTTGTATTAATATTTTGATTAAGAAGCCATTGAAATTATAGCGTTTTTTTTTAACTGCATAATTGTTTTGAATATTAAAATATTTATAGCTCATGTAAAATCTACTATGTTATATATTTTCTAAACTAAGATAACGCATATGGATATGTACTTCTCTTAACATCAATTAGTTATCATTTAAAGAACATTTGTAGTCTACAAAAATAGTATAATATTACACTGACTGCACAATGTACATAACGCTATATCATGGTTTGTATTAAATAATTATTTAAGTAGCTAATTACCATTTTATACTCTAAATATTCCAAAAAATAAAATGAGACAATTTTCATTAAAATTACTTGTTATATTAAACACAGTTATAATTATAAATAGGCAGGCCACGAATTTATAACTATAATAATAACTAGTGACTAAAATTATTAAAACTACAAAATGAATTTAAATATAAATCAAAATAATAAGAATATTTTAAAACTAAATTTTGTTTTATAATATTTAATTAATTCATGGTAGCTATGTATTTTGTATAATAATATTATATCCTAGAAAAAAAATTATTTGTTTATTATTTATATTACAAATGGGATATATTAATTAAAAAATGGGAAATTTTTCAGAATAAGTTAGAGTTTTGGTGTTAGCGCGTCTTCAATACTCTTATATCTACAACTTTGAAAATACCAAAAAAATAAATTTGTATTCTATGTATATTTTATTTAATACCAAAACAATTTTAGTTGAATCTGATAAAAAAAGAATAATAGAATTAGTCAATCTTTCATTGATATGATAGACAAAATGCATAGATGCTTTTCATATCAAAAATCTAAAGCGCTTTGTGCTGTCAAACAATATAATATCGATGTATATATATATATATATATATATATATATATAATATATATCCATTGACATACGCTTGAACGCGTACATTAAAGGTATATGTATATATATATATATATATAATAAAGCCATGTAGGCATACACAGAAACCTATTATTTTTTTAACCAAAAAATTATTACACTCACACTATATAATATTAAATTCGTTTATCACGTGCACGATTACAATATTATAACCTGTTAACATCGATGCACCGTGTATCATATACTCAGTCATACACATTATGTTATATTTATCTCACAATGTTTTTGAATATTTATTACACAACGAGCATATAAATTCAAAAGGCTGATGTTAAATATGAAAATAAAATAATAACACTTAACATTGCATACAAAATTATGTATATACGATGTTATAATATTTCAATAATAAGTTATGTAGATACTCTATTTTTTTTACACATACTATTTTGTTTTCATTCAATTTAGCATAATATAAAGTGATAAATAATTAATTAATTGGAATAATAATTTTTCTCAATTATGTAGTTGCTGCTTTATTAGGAAATATCCAAAAAAAGGTTTAATACAAATGTATAGTAACAGTAGAAAAAATTGGAGTATGTATTTACTAAAAAAATAAAGAATTTACGCTAAGCAGATTGGAGAAAGATACCAAGTGGCAAGTATTATCATATAAAATCAATGAATATGTTAGGGAACAATATATTGAAAAATTTAACACAATTCAAGTACTTAGATTGTCTTCTAACACAAGACAATGACCTGAAAATGAAAATCAATATAAGTATACAGAAAAGTAAAAGTGTTAATTTGGATATCAAAATATACCAAGCTTAAAATGTACGAGTGTATAAGGATACCTAATAGTACAAAATAAATATATATTAAAAAATTTATACTTTTAATAATCTTATATGCTTCAAGTACATTATTTATAGTAAAAAATCTAGAAATTAGGATTAATTTTATCCAAAAGAAAAATTCACAAAAAAGTATGTAACTTAAATGTGGTCATGTTAATAATCAAAACATGATATTGGAAAAAAAATATGAAAATAAACTATATAAACTCCTACAAAATATAGGATAATATTAAAGAAATTTCAAAAAGAATACTCTTTAAGACAGGTAATGTGTAAATAAAACAAGAGTCACTATTAAGGACATCTATCAAGGAACAAATTACTAGTAAATGACCATTAAGAAGACCACGGCGATATTTTTAAGAAGATTATGTCAAACATCGCGAGGAAAAGTAGAACTTAATTTTCAGCAGAGGATAACAGAAGTTGTACGGACAATTGGAGAAAAATTTGTTGGGCATTTAGTCTCAACTATAAATTAGAAAAGAGGTGGAAAAAATTATTTTGTACTCATTCTATATCGCAGATGGTAATTTGAATTTATTGTCATAACATTTATTAATGTTTCGCAGCAATTCGACGTTTAAGTTTTTGCTGTAATCGAATAAATAGTCCTAAATCGTTAGTAATTTTATTAGTAGAATAGCTATTTACAAATTTATATAGTTTGTATGTTATTGTCATGTTAATCTCTTCTTCCGCATAATAATAATTATTTTCGGAATTTGTACTGTCGCTTAATTACATTCTAATAGGTTTATTATAGATATCTACGGTCGACCGATCCGTTACAACCGACACCCTACGTAGTTTTGACATGACGACATATATAGTCAGATATTGTATCATAGACTACTTAGGTAAATAGCGAGTCCACTGACGACATATATTTTATAATAATATCATACTTATCCCATAGTCGATCTAAACACTCTCATCATTACCGTGTTCACGTCCGTGCATATTACGTTTTTATTCGTCGTCGTACAGGTACCTGACGATAGTAATGTACAATAACTATGGCGATGACGATGATCATTTAAAATGGGTGGACAACCAAATCGGTGAATAAAAGCAAGGAGTTCGCTCGTGTCTGACTTAATGCCACTGATGCATCATGCGTGTACAGTACGCGTTTGTCATAGTGGCCGCCAGCGCGGCCGTCGTCCGGGTTGACGGATATCTCGACGTCTTGTCCAACGTGTACAACTGTAGATCAACAGACTTGGACACGTGTCTTAAAAGCCAACTGGCGCGAACCATCGATGAAATATCGGATAGGAATGAAACTTATCGGCTAAACCGGTATCTAACCGTTACCACGGCCGGTAACCACCGACAACCGCTATCGCCTGATGATAACTTGGGTGCGAAATTTTTGAACTTTTTCAACACGCTGCAAATCCATTATCAACCGGAAGAAGAAGACGGATCAAATGATGACGTTTTCGAAGGTATCATTTCATCTCTACAGCCAGTATATTATTGCTCTAAAATTATTCGTATATAGATAAGAGAATATCATAACATTTATACTTAATTGTATTTATTTATTTATTTATTGTATGGAGACCTATTGTTTAGGTTTTTCTAACGATAAATCTATTTTCATTGTTAATATTATATTTTATTGTATTTTTGTATAGTCGCAATAATTGCACTATACCTCTCCCTTGGCTTTAGACGAAAAATGTGTATTTTGAATTATACATTTTAATCGTATTGATAACGGTTTAATTTAACGTACAAAAATCGATTACAGGTCGTAAAAAAAAAGGAGGTAAAAACAAAAAGCACAAAATGGGATTGATGATGGGATTTACGGCGATGGGCATGACTATCGTCGGAGGTCTATTTAACAAGATGATGATGGGTGGTGCGATATCAATAGCCTTGAAAGCACTAATCATAGCCAAAATCGCTCTGATTCTAGCCGGTACCATGGCAATAAAAAAGCTATTAAGTGGTGGTGGTATTGGTAGCGGCCAAGTCAGCATTCATCCATCGTGGATTGGTGGCGGAGGCAGTGGTGGAAATGAACAACATTCCGGATACCGAAGAAGTTACGCAGCGCTACAGCCAAGTATGACTGCCGCTGATGCGTTGCCTTACAAAGAACAAATTGATTCTTACAGCAATACCCATTATTCCAGATAGTTCGGCAACGCAAAAGCCTTGCGATGAACTATTAGCCAACTTCGTTAAGTGTATATTACAATATATTTAACAAAAATAAACTTTGTGACGACAAAGTCTCTGATGGTGTACACATAATTTTTTCACATAGATACTTAACTGATAAAAATATGTGAACAAAATCATTGTTTGAATACATTTGTTTTTCGGTTTTGGGAGTAAATAATAATATAATATACATAGTTATAATTAAAATTTGGTAAGACATTTACCTATGTACCTAGTAGTTATACTTTCTAATGTTTGCTTTGCTGTTTCTATAAAATATTGTAAACTTAAAAATTTACAATATTATCTTTTTTATACTTATAACATACAATGGACTAAAAATATGGAAGTAATTAGAAATATTATTCTCTAAGTACAAATTCCTTGAAAAATATTGGATGTCAAACTGACGCTGTTTGATGTATGCAATATTCCGCTATCGTGTTAAACTATGAAGGACGTTTGACTAGTCATTGCAAAAACATATTACGACCTAGATAATCGTCACCATTTTATAATTCAAAACCTAAAATATTAATAATATATTATAAATTTTCGCTGTGTTAAAATAATTAGATTATACAATTTCGATCATCTATTTTTAATATTTATTACTGTAATATTTGAAAAGCTTAACATTTTCATTTAAAACTAAGCTATAATTATTTTCTGAATTCAATATACAACAAAATTATTTGGTATAAAATAATATTATAATTTTTTTTTTTTTTTTTTTTACAATAAAACCAATTTCCTTTAAATAACTTATATTTATAAGTATATTCTAAGATAATAAAATACGTATTTTAATTTAAAATAGAATTTTACGGTACTTCCTAGAGTGAACTTGGTTGTTTCGCGTGGATCTAGCTCTGTTTTATACTGATAGCAACTCACAACACAACAGTCACATCAAGATACAGTTGTGACATTATAATATATTTAATAGTAAAATTATACGACGCATTTTTCAAAAAAATAAGTGTATTTTAAAAATCAAAGCTGAGCCTAATTAATTTTCAAGAAATTATATGCAAATAATAAATTAAAACCATTGATTTTAGAAAATATATAACGGTGACATTTAACATAATAAAAAGTTGATTTTATTAATTTAAGTAACATTTTTGGTACACGTGTTATTTGTATACTTGAGTCTTATCACTTGTGTGAGATAAAAAGGTGTGAATAATTTCTTACATGTAAACCCATAAAAGGCGATTCAGGTAAAGGTTCAACCTTTTTTTTTTCAAAAAGTTTTAACATTTTTGAAATTCCTTCACGTTATTTTAAGTCATAATTAACTCAAACATTTTTTTTTTTAATTATATTTATTTTTCTTTACCATTTTTTAAGTTTTTACTTTGTTAAATAACTATATACACATTTTTAATTTAATATTCCGAAACAGAACATTATTCAAAAATGTATATATATTATAATCAAGTTTCTTACGAGTTAGTTTAGTTTAAAGTATTTACTGTTGTAGACTAACATTTTTTTCGAAATATCTATTCCTGTGCATGGTAACTGTAGTATGCTATTCCACTTAATTTGTCTAAACTTACAATCAACTATTAAACTATTCGTTTGGTAATATCTTACTCTGTATAACAATTAAAAACTTCAAAATTCAACCTCCATATAATAATTAAGAACAACTAGGTACGTTAAGACAGCGGTACAAGTATTATAAAAAAATACTGTTTGTTTAATTAACTTAAGTACTAAAATAAAAGGTAGGTATATTTTTATTTTTTTATAATAATATTGTTAATTAATAACAAAAAAAAAAAAAAAAATTTTTGTCATCAGGCGGAGATCGAACCGTGGAATTTAATTATCTGTTGATTAAATTAGATTAATTTTACATTAAACGTATTAAATAACCATTGTTTTTTCAAAATGTAAAGTCAAAAATATGAAAGAAAGATGTCGCCTTCTAATCTAACTCTCTAATTGCACTTACACCTCCTACTACAGTTGGCTTCGGAGGGTTTAGCTTTCGAAGAGCTTATTTAGTCGAACGACATTTTTAAATCAACGACGCCATCACTGACGTACAAGTGGCTCAGTTATTTTTATAGCATTTAAACATGATTTGTTTGTTCTCCTGGTGACGAATTAAATAAACAATTTATGTAAAAAAAAAAAAAAAATGTATATATATATTAAAAAATTGTTGATGTAAATAATATGTATTTATATATATATATATATATCTTCAGAGCCCAGAGAGATATAACTTATCACTTTTATATATTTAAGAAATTGCATTTAGGTAGTAACAGTTGATATTAATTGGCACATATAGAAAACGAATGATAGAGGTACCTACATATTTTTTAAGCTTATTAAAGGTTTCAAGTGAGTATAGCTACAAAACTAACAACAGATAATATTAAATATAACAAAGTATTTAGTATTAACAAAATACATATAAATATATATATATGCATATATATTATGTACGATAAGTTAAAAAATAGAACTTTAGTTTTTCAAAGTCTAAATTTAATATATGCTTATAGGTAATAATTATAAAACACGTTTTATTTAAAAGTACATATCTAAATATGTAAATTATATACATATAACAGCTAAGCCGGTTTAAGCAATGAAATTGTCACATTCACGACATATATGTATTTACAATTTACATTTTACAGAAATCAGCTGCAAGTTTTTTCGTTTATACATCATAGGATTTCCCGTCATCGGCGTATATTTATTACACAATACATAATTTCACGGCTTTCAATATAATTTTTGAAACATTTTAATAATAATAATAAAGACGTATTTTTAAAATGTATGCATAATAATATATCATATATCATGTGCAAATATGTGTAATCCCGATAATCCAGAAAATGATTACAGTTGTTGGAGACCGCAGCACCTTTATATAGGTATATTATTTAGATAGGTACACGCTGCGGACGAATAACGACAGCAGACAGAGGCACAAGGCAGTTGGTTGGAGCGCGAAAATTTAAATTTACGCCTCTTGAATGGTTTCTATATGTCTGTAATCACGTTTTTTCCAGAGAAGTTTATTAAGTATAATATAATTTTCCGATCACCAAGCTAAAATTGAGGATTTTTTCGTCACTTCATTGCTTGGTTATATCATATAAATTCGTATTCATATACAACACAATATTAACATTTACTTAATGCCATTGACGCAGTTGTGATTTATAAACGTTGAATCTTGAGACACTGTAGAATAACTTTTGATTATCGTAGTTTATAAACGTACGTCCCGCGACAATTGTCAGTCATTATCTTCCGGTAGACCTTATTATTATAGATAGGTATATGCGATTTTGCGTTCAAGTCATAATATTATATACATAAAATTATCATATGTCTTCTGTCCAACGGACATTATTATTGAATATGTGTCTAAGTATATTAACTGTTGATTTCAAATAGCATTATATGTGTTGCAGCGATATACCTGTAACTATACCGGAGCTAGGTGAATTGGGTCCGCGATAATTTGGTTTCGTTTTGAAAGCGGTAAGTTGAGTCCCGGGTATAAAATGGTAGTAGGTAAGTTGGGTCCCGGCTATAAATCATTGGCGCAATTAGGTCTAAAATATTAAAAACTTAAAACTTTAATATTTCATATTTATATAATTTTATTTACTTTTGAATAATTGTTACAATAATACGTCATATTGCATACAGTGTGGTACACCGTCTGGACACCAATTAATTCTACGCATGATGTTAATGTGTGTATAGACAGGTATATTGTAAAATTTGACGTACTATATTATTTAGCGTGTTGACATTTTTTTCCTGGTATACAATTTTTTAATCATTTATACCATATATTATTTTTTGAGAACATAATATTATAAAAACCACATACATTTTAATTATTTTTTTTTTCCGGGACTCAACTTACCTAATACCTTTTTTTCCGGGACCCAAATTACCGAGATAAGGTCATTTGGGACCCAATTTACCAATTCCGGCTATACCAATAGATAAATTCGAGTATTCGATCACGGACATAAAAAGAACTGTTAACGACTATATCCGTTTTAATTTAAGAAAATAATATGACTACTATATATTTTCATTTATATATATTTAATTTTTTGTATACAGTTATTGAGATATATATGGATTACATCTTAGATCTTCATCTACGTTTACACTAAAAACTATATTAAAAAAATAAATAGGTAGGTAATAATTACATGATAACGTTATACCAAGATAATTTGATTGGTGCAATGTGCTTACATTTATTCCGTTTCTTTTTTGTTTTTATCTGTTGATTCCGTATATTTTATATGGTCATCTTCTCGTGGAAAATAATTAACTCCCCGGAAAAGCGACGATGGTTTGGATGAAGAAATCTGTTGAAACTCGTTTAAGTGTTCGTAAAACTTTTCACCTCTGATGTCACCAATGAACGGGTTGTGATGGCCACCAATCGATTGATGAGGATGATAATGACCGCCAACTGGACCGTGATATAAACTACCAAACGAATTATGGGTGTTAAACGGTTGATGACTTCCGAACGAATGGCTTGCTATTGGCTTCTTGTTGTGGTGTAGAAACAATGAACCATAACCCACCTACAAAAACGAAAAAATTATTAAATTGATTGATATTTATCATGTCTATCGAAATTATAAAAATAAAATCTATATCCTTGTTAAGTACTCACCACACTGGTGACGACTAATGCAATTTTAGACAAAATAAAAGCTTTTTTAGTCAGAAAATATATCGCTGCAAACATGATCGGAATCACAGAGGCAATACTAATTTGCGTAGCCAACACGTTTGGTAATAATGATCTTTTGAATATCATATGTCCTAAAAAATTAAATTTATATAATTATTCAACTACTGATTAAATATAGTATAAATTGAGCAATTGTTGATAACTTAAACCAAAAATCTAGCCATTAAGCGATCTATTCTGTCTAAATGTAATTAATTATATTAGGTATATCACATAAAATATGTTTACGTTAAAATGTATTAAAACAGGTAATCATGTATAAATTACTGATATTATAATTTATAAGTTACTGATGGATACTAATTATTGATGATTTTTTTATAATTATTTATAGTTATTAAAATGATCATATAATTGAGTGATACGTTATAATTTTATCTTTTAATACATATAAAATACTAGAGTCTTAAACTAATTTATGTTCATTCTTGATATAAAAAATGTATTATTAAATTATAAATCATATTATGGTAAATATAACAATCTGTGTAAATAATGTATGTTAGTGATATTGTGAATAATCAAAAAACGTCAACGATAATATGATTGGAACACGACAAAAATCATAAAACAAAAAAATATGATTCATTTTAAGACATAAAGCGAGATCTAGCGGTCCGAATTTACTTCATAATTTTGATTGGTTCTCTTGGTTAGAAACTAGAGGAGCCTCTGTAGTCGGTTTACTTAATTTTAAAATCAGTTATTAACTTTTTATTGTTATTCATACGGACATTAATAATTATACTATATTGTACACTTAAAATAAACTATTAATAAGAAAATAAATTAAAAAAATATAAATTTCAAAAAACGAAAAATATTTAGTAGTCTTAAATTTTTCAGTAGTAATATTTTTGTTTATTTAGGTAAGTACCAACGAAGATGGTATATGACTTGTTATTAAATTTGTGGAAACACAAAAACAACGAAAATATTAAGCAATTTTCATGTTTTATCTTTTCATAAATTTTATTATTCTTAATATATGTCATTTTTAGTTTTGGTTTTAAAGACGACAGCGTCAATTTATCCATTTTAAACTAATTGTAAATATCGTGATAACACTTATATTAATGATAAAATATAACGTATGAAATAATAAAAATACCTACCGATACCCAAACTTCGCTCGTCAAATTTACGTCGAGGATCTACAATAAAATCAATTATTCCTCTACTGGTATACGTTGGACCGATTCGCATCTGCAGTCCTGGGTATAAGAGACTCAAGTCCCAACAAAACGTTCGCCTGGAAAGCAACGAAGACGCAGCTTCAATGACTGCACCGATGTTGTACGGGTTATCGCCTGTACAAAATAGTAGGAACACAATTACAACAAACATTAAAATAATATTGTGAAACTCGATAAAATGTCATTATAACGATGGGCTGATAATGATATAATTATGGATTTTTGATGACTAAAACATAGTTAAAGATAACACAATATTTTTATTTCGCTGTATATATTACACTAATCAAACTTTGATCGCGTTGAGTCAAATTATTTTTTTCTCAGGTTCTTAATTGATTATCATGATTTCGCTGTAATAATGTAACAACTTAAAATAATAGCATAAATAAATATATTATTACACGTTAAACAATTTAATGGTGTGTACAATACCAATTAATAATTAAATAAACGATTTTCTGACGAATACCTCTCAATTCTAATAGACATAATGTTATCGTATAAATAATATTAATTACGATTTTTATAATGTATAATTATTTAACGTCACATTCATTTAAGAATTTAACAGTTTAATACAATAGTAGTAGTACAATATTGAATTAATTATTTCCCGTTGTAAACCACAGCCTCCAATAAGGTCAACCATCTGAATAATTACTAGGTAAATTAATGAAAAAAAAAACACGTTTTACGTACACTTATTCAATAAAATTTTCCAATACATTAATACAACCATGTGCTATTATAACAGAATTATTGTTATTAAAACTTTAATGAACATAATTGTGCAGCGTAAAATTTAGTTATGAATGCATATACCAACATATAATCTTACTTTGTGTATAAGTAATAATAATATTACAGGCTACTGGTTAGGAATTTGGACAGATCGCTCGAGCAAACGAGTGTTCGAGCTGCATCGTAATTTGTAATTTTAAACATAGAAATCGATGCTAGTTCTCCGTATTATTATTGATTTTTTTTTATGTGTACTGATAGCACATATTATTTCATGTACAATTTTATAAATAGAGGACAATTAACCGTTTTGAATTTGTTTTAAAGGTAGGGCATATATCAAATACACATTGTATAATTTAAACAAATATATTATCAAAAATACATCGACCCCGTCATTGTTAAAATTAAGTGGTTCATTAATTAAAAAGTATTGAAGTTGCGTACTAGATATAAATACTTAGTTACCTACTCGATTATCTTTGGCAAAAGACTATAGTGTGCTATTATTTTAGGTTTGAACGATATAAAATTATCTATTCATCGTAGAATTATTATGTATAGCGTATCATCAACCACAATTTTATAACTATTTTAAGCACCTACACATTTTATCGAAATGAAATTGAGTGATGAGGATCTGTATGATTTTTTATTAATATTATCTAGTTAAATTGTTAAAGACTTAACAAGATTTATAAATTTCGTTTATTTTTTACAATTTTTACGATAACTATTATTTTTATTTTTTTGTTTAAGCAGTCGCCTTAAAGGTATCTTTATTTAAAGGTCTATTGTAAGTTAATTTATAAATATAATGTATGTAATGTTTAGTGATTTTATAATTGATTATATAACGATACCTATTAATAAAAATAATGGTAGAATTGATTAAAAAATAAATTTTGAAGATTACTCAGTCTACTAAAAACACTACATCCAGAAACCTAAGATTTTCGTTATATCTTAATATACCTATTACATTTTATCCTATTAATGTATTATGTATAATTTGATACCATATTAAAGATAATAAACAATAATGTATTACGTATATTTGTTAAGTTTTATATACTTGACTTCTCCTGTACATTTAATTATGCGTCTATTGTGTGCATGGCCGGCGGAAGGCAGGGGTGGACTGAGCGATAGCCCAGGGCGGCAATTTTCGTCTAAATACCCATGGGCAGCATTTTAGCTAAAACTTTCGCAATTTTATAATTGTATTAATATTATTAGTATATTTATATATATGTGTTATGTAAAGACTATTTTATACTTTAATTTTATGTTTATGGCGAAAATATTATGACTATGAAAATAAATGTTTTTAGATAAACCAATATTATTGCATAATTTGTATCATATGATAACTTATTTATTTATTTATTTAGTTTTAAAATAAGGCAGCATTTATAATTTAGTCCAGGGCGGCAAAATAGCTCGCGCCGGCTCTGATTGTGTGATAAATGTGTCAAAATTATATTTTATAATATGTATAAATGTATTAGTATAGATTTGGTAACATTTAGGTCATAAATATTTTAACAATGGGTTAATGGTAATATTAGTACATAGTAATGAGTAGTTTTTAAAATTAATTAAATTGATATATTTTTATTTTTTTTTCGCATAAAGCTTGATCAAATCATAATTATTAATAACTTAATTTAATTAAAATAATTAATCAGTTAAATATTTAAATAGTATAATATTTACAGTTATTTCTGCATTTTAGTACCTGTGTTACAATGTGTTAACAATTATTGTTTTGTATTCGTATGCAGTTATATTTATTAACAAATTATCTTATTAAATGCTTTAACTAGGTTTACGATAAGAATCATTCTGCTATAAATTGAGTAAGGACATAACTATAATTATTATCAGTGATATAATATTTTGGAAGAGTAAGTGTGAATGTGTGTGTGTGTGTATGTGCGGAGAGATTGAATTTTATTTGTCACAGTTATGATTAAATCATTACTTTTTAGATACTTAATGATGTTAATTATAAACAAAAATCTGTGTTTTTATCAATTAACTATTGATTCTAAAATGCAAAATATGGATACATATCTGTACAAGTTGATAAAATCTAACGAATTATTGTATTTAAAAAAATATATAAAAGAGAGGATACGATTGTGTGAAAAATCCAAAAGATTTACAATGTACAAAAAAGATAATTACTTATATAATACTGGTTGAAATATCAAAACTATCGAATAAAACCTAAATAGCTGCTGCAAGTCACATTGTATATACATAAATACCTGACAAGCGAGAAAAACATATAATTATGGTGGCATTAATAAATTCCGTTATATTTCGATATATTTGCTTTAATATTAATTTGCCCGAAGACACTTTGCATCATACAACTTCGGTATGGTACGACAATAGCGGTCTATTGATATTTTTGCTGATGATCGCTGACGGAAAATCATACACCGAGCTTGTAATATACGTTTATCGTCGTGATTTTATTGACTTGTTCATATTCAAAATAACAGTAGTATAATAGCCAATAGGTATATATTTATACGATTGTTATTCATAATAATATTTACGGTCATCGTATCTATAGGCACAACTCATGTAAAAATTCTAGGGGAAGGCTACAGTCCTCAAAAAAACTGTTAACTTAAAAAAATGCATTAGGGTCTCATTCTCCCACCATCGCCCACTACTTACCATAAAACATTTTACTATTTTAAATTCCAAGCAAAGCAAAAAGTATATTTTACAATAATGTTTTTTTTATTTGGCATTGTTGTGAGCAAAATAATAAGCCAATCATAGAAATGGTTTACATAAAATTATGCATCCATCACTATTATTTAACTAGGTTATTCAAACATATAATAATGCAAATTTGTTTATCTGTAACACAAGAATAACAAAAAATAAATAAATATTATTTATCATTTAACTTTACTTTTTTATGGTGAGGAGGAGATTAAGTTTTAGTTAGGGCCTAAGAGGATATTATTAAGCCCCCCATCTAGTAACACTATTATATATACTACTGTATCTCCTGTTTACTGCTAAAAATGCAGGAGTTTTTTTCAAATTGTATTATGTATTATCAAATTGTATTAGGTATTTATGTAATACATATACACGTCTCTCTTTTTTAGTTGAAAATTTGAGAAAATTAAATATAAACATTTTATTCTAATAAGAAACTACATATAATTAAAGACGATTATTCTTTTACTGAGAAACGTGAAAAATAAAATATTTATATAGTATCTGAAGTAAAACCAGTAAATTATAAATAATAATACATAGCCACATAGTTATATCGATATTACAGGTTCATGAAACGTAATAACTTATACTAGTTAAAAATGATAGTCACGATAGCTCTAATAATAAATACTACAACAAATAAATTTAGACATGTGGGCATCGTAAAATATGTATTTTGGAAAACATTAAAACGGTAAAAATAGTCCCTTTACTGACATGGGTTTCTAAGACACGACGTAAAACACGACGGTGTACATAAATTAATAATTATCGTAACAACTTATCGCAACCTTCAAAATATCCATCGTGGTCAAGGCCCTCGGGCGGTGTTTACGGTGACTTTAATAGTGGGAATTCACAAATATACCTCTAAGATGAATATGATATTAATAAAATGTTGTGTCTCATCAACATTTTTTATTTATAAACCTCACAACGTGAAAAATTGTACGCCTAACACATAATGTATGATCAAAAAGGTTTTGAAATCTATGTAAATATATGTATTATACATGACGTAAGATAATATAATGAAATAAAAATATATTTGACTAATTTTGATTTTTTCTTAAATTAAATTAGAAAATATTCACAAATAAAAAATAAATAAAAACAAAATCTTGATTGAGATTTTAATAACCCAATAAGTCTGAAAGTGACGCCTATATAATACGCTTATACGTGTACGCAAAATTCTCATCGTAATGTCGACCAACCATTTAGAACTTGGAATCCACGTTCACACTCAATGAAATAGATGAATTAGATAAAATAAACGTACGGTATTATTAGTATATATAGAATATCAAGTATGCGTAAGTTGAATGTGGTGATATGATTTTTGACGTTGTACCTGTAAACAACTTTAAAACAAATGTGAATAATATTGTGAAATTAAATTTGTTTCGAAAATTATAAACAACCAATGGTTGGTCGTTTCAATAACCAATAATACAATCGATTTTAAACGATTTGTCTAATTTAATATATTGCACTCTAAAGTCACGTGATTTATCATTTCTAAGACTCTAGTCTCTCACCACTGGAATAATTGAGGAGGATCTACAAACGGAATGCATTGCGGTAGTGTATCTTACCCAAAGAATAAACTCCTCGAGGAGCAGCGAACGCTTCTACACTGGGACTTTTGGAAATCTCCAGTCCCGAATCCAGGAGCACCGAGTCCATGGATTCAGTTTGTTCAATAGCTGCCATGGCGTGCCCGTTGATACAAGGCAAGAACGAGTCGGCTCCTGCCAGGCAGCTCTTGATCGCCGTACTGACCATCGGGTTGAGGTGGTCGTTGTTTTCGCTACCTCTGTCATCATCACCGACGTCTCCTCCAACGTCCGAGTCAGAGGAATGTCCATCAGAATCGGAGAACAGGATACACTGGGTACAGCTAACAAAAATAATCAACGAGGCAAGGTAAACACCGAGTACGGACATCGTCGCCGCTAATGTTTTAACGGGTTATACACTTTCGACAAAAGTATAAATTACAGCATACGTTTTACCAATAAAAATATATTCGCGGACGGTATTATATTATCATTTAGGTGTAGGTAATGATCATTTGGACGTCGTCGCTTGCCTCGGGCTGTGTTATTATTACTTTAATACTGACGACGGACCGGACAGCGTAGATATCTGTTAGCATACGACCACAACCGCAACTACACAACGGTGCAATGGGCAGTAAGCCACCGGATCGCGCAAGTATGATACGTCATACCGATATTATAATATTATTACCGTGTTGTTGCGGATATAGTAATAATAATGTATAATATAAGCGTCATTTAAACTGTAATAACACGCACCGCCTCCACCGCTGATTTAACGGATATAACGACGGTAATGTATAATATTAAAGAAAGTTTCCTAGTTTTTCCTTTCAAGTGCATCCGACTGTTTCGCTTTTATCCGATTGTACTCGCTGTACAGGTACCCACGCAATATCGCGTGTATTTATATATTATGGTGCACTGCACTAAGGGGGAGCGACGAACGATGTACGTTAGACGAGCAATGGAAGTATAATATATTAATCGTTCCATTTTATAATAGACTATGCGATATTATATCGTCGTTCATTGTGTACCTATAGTGCAGTGTTTTTTTTAATGAATTGCTGGATCAGAGCTATCGCGATCGCGTAGTTCTCGTTCGTTTTCGATTCAACAACTTTTCAGGAGACCGGAAGAATAAGCAAAATCGTAACGTTAAAAACGAAACCGCTTCCAATAACTATGGTTTGAATTCACAAAAATGAAAATAATTTTGTCACAACATTGATCTATTTAAAACACTCACTACATCGATTTTATTATTTACAGTATACATATGTATGTTCTATCAAATATTTCGTTTCGATTGTCTGGTCATCGCATTGTACTATTGCATCAGTCTGCCGAGAAAATCGTTTTCGTTAAATTTTGTTTTAATTCAATCTTTAAAATACCCTTTAGATTAAAACATCTAAAATCTACAATTACCACACGAAGATAAAGTTATGTTTTTGTTTCTCTGAAAGCGTGATACGCTGATATCCTACAATTAATATCACGGTTGTCTTATTGATCTGTCGAAGTGTCAAGTCTATCATCAAATTATCTGCCGTTTTTTCCACATCGGAAATAATCTTTTTGCAACGTTATTTTTCCAGAAATACTTTTATCATAACCATCACACAATCATCGATCACAGAACATAATATGCATGATTTATGTTGATAATAATAATAATATTAACGTTGCGGGAGCGATTGTCAAAAGCTCATAAAATAGAATATAATTAATTTTTACCTTGAATCTAATTCAATTTATTTATTGTTTAACATGTAAACACAGATTGTAAATACACTAAATTTTGTTAAAAATTAAAAAAAAAAAATTATTTTTACCTATAAGTCAAGTATTTGTGCAATGACATGTTTCTACGAAATATACTGTACGATATTCGTCAATATTCGATTAGGAAAAGGATATAATATTTATTTTATCCAACGGAATCTGATATCGCGTTACTCATATATATATATGACGTACGTAATTATATATTATTATTTATTATATGAAAAAAATATTATGTCGCGCAAAGGTATAAAGGTATCTATGCTTTATACATAGATTTAAGCATATATTATTATTATTATTATTATTATTATTATTTTTATTATCATAGTTTTAAAAGCGCCGCTGGCTTTATAATAATATTATTTCGGGCGACTATTTTAGGGTCTAGGACAGGTTTTAATTTTATTTCTCTCCTAAACGTACGTTAGAGTCCGTCAATCGATTACTGTATCGGACTAAACTCAGCCGTCTATCGGTGTTCGCATGAACGGTCTGTTCAGAATAGATTATAAGTCCAATCTAATATTAATCCTTTCCACACCATGACGTGCAGTACAAAGTTGAGGTTAACGGCTTTACATACCGCATACATATATTATTATTATATACTGACATGTACGTATCCCCCTTCCGGCTATTATTGTCGAACGATTTAGATTTTTCCTCTCGTAATAATTAGATTGATCGCGCACTTTCTAAATTGCAGGGTCTGTAATTAACTCTAAAGCAATCAAAACGGTGCTTAGATATTATGACTTTATATAGGATGACTATTACTTATTGTACGAGTTTGAACGTGTCAACTGTACAAAATTCTTGCTTAAAAAAAAAAAAAAAATGATAGTATTCAGTTGGTCGAGTAAAAAATATCAATCTGAAATAAATCTGATACGAATTTACTTTAGAAATCTACAGTTTCTCCGCTTCGCTGGGAAAACATTCATTTTAACACAACGAAAGTTTTATTCTAATAATATAAAATATAAATTATATGCAACATCGTATTGTTTTTACTTAATAAGCATATCGACCATTTTCAAACGCAAATCGGATATACTGTTTAAGTGGCCAATACAATAATATTTTATTAACTATCTATATAGTCTAATAACACGAATTAGTGTAGGTATATTCATAGCCGCTTAGGTATATTAATTTTGAATTTATTACCCGTAACGGTATTCATTATTTTGTTACACGAATTTACGAGATTATTTAAATATTTGAAATATATAACATTATTGATGCGTCGTTTTTTGGTCAATTTATTCATAAAGTCTGTACATTTCTAAGAAATGTGGAGTTTGTAACACATATATCTCAATGACCCTTGTAAGTATGCTTGATTCGTTTAAAATTAAAATGTACCAAAAAGATTTTTTTTACGAATTATGAAACATTTTGTCACATAAAATATAAATCCAATCGCAAATAAAATGTCAACAACGAAAAGTGAAGAGGCACGTTGTGTTCAATAGAAAATAATAGTACAGTCTATTATTGTAGCACACAATTCTTATCTAACCTCTTACGTTTTATTCTAAACACATATTAATGTTGTTTAATAAACGGAAAATCGTGTAGTATTTTTTCAATGTATAAGCTATGATTCACATGATGAGTTTATCAAAACACGACTAAATGTGTGTACTACGTGTGAATGTGAGTAAGTACACTAAGACACGATTTTATTTTTCATTCATCGTAATAAGATTTCTTTTTTTTTTATAAATGGGAAAGGAACTATATAGCCACCAGCCCCAAATATTTATATATAATGTATATTGTATTATATAAACTGTGTAGGTAAAGTTTCACTTATACATATGTAAAATATGAATTAGTGTTGATACTCATAGTAATTTGTGTTGACCATTGATAAAAAAATAAAATTATATGTTTCTTAATTCATTAGCATCGTCTGGAACGCTAAACCAGTTTTTAAAAACAAATCAAGTGTACTTACATATATTTATCACACTTATTTGACACATCAAGGTTTTTTTTTTCCATTAATCATCTTATAATTGTACGAACCGTATAATATTTGTTTATTAAACACATGTAGACTTAAATACATTTGTACAAGTATGATAGGAATTATCACAATACAATGTAAAAGAAAAAATAGAATCATTTGAAAAATGGATCTTGATAAGTTTATTTTATTTCAAAAATAAATAAATTAATTAATAATAATAATAATTAATAACAGTCGGTATAATGTATTTATTTCTTCTGGTGGACAACAAGAACAATGATTTTTATATTATTTGAGAGGAGATGGACAATGATCCATTCGAGTAAGTAATGTCAAGTCTAGTTAAGTCAAATAAAGTCAAGTCGAGTCAAGGCAAGTCGAACTGAGTTCAGAGAAAAAAAAAAGAAGTGGATTTATTACAAACAAATCGGTTTTATTAAAGTACGTAATAAATAGGCATGTCTTGACTGTACACACAAAAAGTAAAATATAATTAATGGTATAAAAAATGACACAATATAACAACATAAAATAAAAATAAATATTATGGTTTGTGGTAAGAAATATTTCCGGTCAAGTGAAAAGTATTCTTTGGTCAACGGTCGTCTTCAGATTGGTATGTATAGGTTTGTACGACCGGGAAGAGCCACAGCAGCCGAGTAAGTCGTCGTACTAGTTTTTAGTGAGTGTGAGCGTGTATGTAAGTATAATAATAATATTATTATTATTATTAGACACTGGAAGAAGGAGTAAAGTACTTGTCCTAAACGTATAGGTTACTTGCAGTTGTCGGTAAGTGTCGTCTCGTGGATAAGGTCAAAGTTGTGATGCTGCAGCTAGTGTGTAATAGTGGTTATTGTCAGTGACGGTGGAAGAGTGGTGATCGTGATTAGTGTAGATAGAAAGAATAGATTTCTAACAATTTCTATTTGTGTTTTATAGACAAAACCAGTTTTGGAAATAGCCGTTTTTTTTTCTTTTTTTTCGTAATAATTCTTCTTCTCTCCTCCGGCCGACCTATATCGACACACGAGCGACGAACACACTCTCACGTGCACACACAAACATATAGTGCGTACGTGCACGTGTGAGTGTGTGTGTCACTAGGTTAACTTCTGTATTTTTAACCGACCGCCCGGGGTAAATAATAATCGTATATTATTAAATAGTTGTGTATATGGTAGTAAAACGTTTTGTTGTGTGTTGTGTGCGATCATTGTCCCGAAGTGATTAAGCAGAACCCGTTATTGACCGCCGCCGTATCGTATAGTCGCCTCCAGTGTACGGATGTCGTATAATAATATTACACGTGGCGGACGCTGTAGCTATATATATGTATATAAACGTATATATTATTATAGTTTGCATATAATAATATTAAATATTATATATATATATATATATATATATATATATATATGTATTTACGAGAAAAACGATTTGTAAGCGTAGGTGGGCAAGCGCGTTATCAATGGTGAGGGTGAGATAAAGAAAAAAAAAGTGAATTTTACGGTAGAATACGATCAGATGTATAAATATATATATAAAAAAAAACACTAATTAATATTAAAATAAATTATTTCGTTCCTATGGGGGAGGGAATATTTTTTTTGAATTATTTACAAATAAATATCGTCCCATTGAGTGATGGCAACGTGGAGCAAAGGGAATGAGGGTGATACTAACTACGGGGAGTACCCTCTAAGGGGGGATGGTTTTCAAGGGTGGCAGCATTAGTGTTGACCGCGGTACGCCATGTCTTGTGCGCGCTCGCCTTCCAGGGACCGTCTGTATCCACCGTGGTGTCCGTGTTCCTCGGTGTAATGTGGGTGAGACACTACTTCGTACGATTGTTGGCTCTTGCTGTTAGCCAATAACTTTTGGATTCCAATGATGACAGCCAAGACGAGGGCGAGCTTACCGACGACGAGAGCCTTGAATGCCAATAAGGCGAGAGCACCAATAGCCAATGGGACGAGGGCGATGGCTTTCATCTTCAACAGCATCAACAATGGCATCAACATCTTTTGGTGCTTCTTCTTCTTGCCACGGGCTGCAAAAAAAAAATATATATATATAAATAAATCGTTAATATTGGAGTTTATTCACAATCAAATGGGATGGGATCGTCTGCAGATAAATGGAAGAATTCTAAGAGATAAAAAAATATTTTTGGAAAACAGTCGAAACTTTTAAGTCTCAAGCCCGCTGGGTGATATAATATTATCTGAACGATATTCCAGTGAAAGGATCAAATGGCTTTCTCCGACTGCGATGACACCGTCACGCCCACTGAGGGCCCCCCTAGCGGCGCACTATTTGGGTTTTCGGGCCACCGGCGACCGTGCGGCCGCACCCGACGGGTCCGTAACACACATATTTATAATCGTATTATTATATTGTTACGACGCCAGGCAATGGTGTGCGACCCGAACGGATTTAGCGTTTCATTATTATTATTTTTATGTGCACCTGTCGACGACGGGTGTGTAATTTGTATATAATATCATATTATATACCGCAGTTATAGTTAGGCCTGAGGCCAAAATCTTGGCCCGATGACAGGCAGAAAACTTGGAACGCGTGCGCGGTACCGCGAGGTCTGCGTATTGTGACGTGTGTTATATACTACATATCATATTATACCAAACGACGGTGACCGAAAGGTTAAGTTAACGTTAGCCAACACGCTGAGTTCGTCGTCATAGGTGCATAGACAGAGAGAAAAAAAAATAAAGATAGCGTACAAGTATACAATACTATTACGAACGTGAAAATGATTAAAATAAAAATAGTTTTTAACGGAAAAAAAATGTAAATCGAATTTTTAAATTGTCTAGTAAATCTGTATCTGAGATGCATGTATCGTCAGAGATTTGTGTTAACGTGATGTATGTGTATAATTACCTACGTTTTTTTTCAAACATATCGTTTTAAAAGCATACATTAATATAACATAATCTTAGAAAAAATGAGTGTTTAAGAACAAATTTTTAAAATAAAATATGATTCTAGATCAACAAGTGTAACTATAAAACGTATGTATGAATAAGCTAAGATAACTCCATCGTAAAATCTGGTCTAGTGACCTATCTGATCAAGGTTAACCAGTATACGATGGTACTATAATTATCAATAACGGTAAACAAGAGGATTTAAATGATTTTTTACCTTCATCGAGAGATCTCCTCATGCCAGAGATGGACGATTCCGGGACCTTAAGTTGAAGGGTGTGGCTTTCCAAGAAACGGGCTACGCGATCCAAAAGGAGGTTCTCGACTTGGGTGTCTTTCTCGTCATCGTCCTTGGGTTGTCCCTCTTCGAGTTCGGATTCGGCGAGCGATCGGCCGTTCAAGCCTCGGCTAGACTCGACGGGTTCGGACTTAACCAACGATATTCCTTCGAATACGTCGATGCTGTCGGACTTGCGCAATGCTCGGTCGACGTATTGCAAAGCACGCATTTTCAAGCATGTGGCCATGTTCTTCTCGGAGCAATCCTGCATAACTTTGTACACCTTTTCCAGACCGACTGCCTCATCGGCAGCTGGGGCTAATGGAACTTCATCGGAGGTCGGATGTCCGTACACGGATTGTGCTGCCACCAAGAACAGGCACGAGACTGCAAGTGTTCTCATCATTTTATGCGTCGAATGTTTGAGTGCGAAGTATTATTTTTTATCGCTGCTATTGCGATATATAAATAATATAATGTGATGTGATGTGCGAGTGTTTTACTACTGTGTACCTCACTACTTAACAAAAGCGACTACACTGATGTATCGTTTGCCGAGTCAGTTGTCTTTTATTCGAATGCGTTTCCGCCTGTTATTCGATCGGCGCGCCACCGCCACCGCCACCGCCGAGTTGGTGGGGTGCCGGTCGGCCAGCCGCCGCCGCCGCCGCTACTGACTCGGTCCGATCACTCGGCGGCGGCGGGGGTACACGCACACCACTCCGATGGCCATGCCATGCTGTCTGGACGGGTCGGCTGGACTGTGTCAACCTTGGCCGATATAGGGTTCGCGTTCAGAAACGGATGTACAAAGATGATGTTAATAATAATATTATAAACTTCGTGTATCTTTCTTTTCGTAGGTACGCTTTTCGTTTTCCTATCTATTTTTCTTGTCTTTCTCTTTTATCTCGTGCACGCGCAACGGACACGAGTCTATGACCGTGCGCCGAACGGCGTGCTCGGGTCCGTGGAACTTTATCTCTATAATATTTTCGTTTCGTTTTGATTTTCTCTAGTTTTATTTTTCCGTTTTGATTTTTTTTTCCTTAATAATACGCGGGGGCACTCGGCGTGAAAGATTTACGTGGCTAGAATCTACACAGCAGGCGCAGCGGACGGATCAATTAATGGTGCAGTTAAATCGCAGTGTGTGTTTTTGTATGATCGCATAATAATAAGACCTATTTGTCTACTGTCAGTTCGGTTTTGTTTTTATTATTCCACGTCGAATTATTGTCGGCGCGATCGTATAGTAACGATAATAATATCATATTGTAAATAATATAATAACTCTATGCTGTTATGTATATAACAATCATTCGAATCGAATTACTAAACATAGCTATAACATGTTATATATTATTATGCTATCGTCTTCGGCATCACTAACAATGTCTTATTATAAACGCAGTGTTTAAGGTGTTACAAGGTTTTTATTTAAATATAAATATTTAAAAAAAAAAACTAACGTTATACTACTTAATTGAGAATATCATAAATAAATTTATATTTCTTTTTTTTTTTTAATCACATTTTATTTTTAAAACCTCTATTCACCATCAACATAAGAATTAACATGATTATTTAAATGTAAATAATTTTAATTTTAAAATAATCAAAAAGCTTTTATTTGTCTTTTTAAAACTAAAAGTTAATATCATTTAAATAATACTAACACGAAAATTAATTATAATTACCTACATTCTTCACAATTTTTTCCTATTTATTTGAAAATATAATTATTATATCTATAACTATATTTTATATTACAATAAAAACTTATAGTAATGATAGAAATATAATTACATAGAATCAGCTTAAGGACTACGTAAATAAAAATATTTCTAATTTTTTTAATAAATTATAACATAATATTATTTTGGCATTAAAATTTCAACTGCACTTAAGTTTTAAAATATTTGAAATTAATTAGCCATGAAATGTTTTAAAATATAATCAAGATAATTTAACTACTCATTTAATTACTTTAATATCATAGCTTTTATAAATTAAAATCACCCAGTAAATAAGGAACTATTAACTAAATATACAATGCATAATAATATTTGTAAATTTAATCAATCAACAGATATCTTTTAATTGATTTTACCTAAAATATCGTTTTCTGTATTTTTTTTTGTCGAACTTTTAAGTTTTCCATAATACATTTTCCATTTCTTTGCAACATATTATATTTAAATTATTGTTTATTAATGAACCGCATATAATATCCTAGTTTAATAAAATTTAATTTAACTAATAGTATCATGCCAACTTATTATAATACCATTATAATATATAATGTGTGCTATTATTGTATATCCCACGTACTATCCTCAGTATTAATAAGTCAATTAATTGCAAACAGTGTATTTCATTACAACGCCAGCCGTACAAAAATTGTTGATTCATTCGAGTCGTTTAAATCTATTTTATTTATTTAACGACGAAAAGAGTGAATACCATGATAGGATAATGACCATGACAATAATAATTTAACTGGCGCTGTTTTTTATTATAATTTTTGTCGTAGATAAGCAGGTGAATGGTGCCTTCTGGTGTAACACCGAACTATTGTCTACCCAACTAAGCAGTTATTCAGTACATTTTTTCATTTAAGTAACTCGAGTTGATCCATATAAAGTATCAAAATCGATAATATTCTACATTTCTTGATATCGCAAATACATTTATTTTATTTTGTTGTCGTTGAGTACACCATCGCTGCAACCAACAACTGTTTTTCAAATCGTAAACTCAGAAATTCATGATACAGCACTGACAATCCAGTTTGATTCACAACGCCGTATGTACATGTACAATATGACTATACTCTGAGTATATAACATTACAGCAGCAGGTATATTATGTTATTTACTAATTATCACTTAAAAACTGATCGAAAAGGAATTTTCTCGATTTCTCCGTTTAAATACGAAGACTAATATACTACCTACACGCATAACAACGACGAATCCACTGTTCTGTCATAGTAGCGCGTCTAAATTTCTCGTAAAAATATTTTCCGTCTATTCAATTACCTAGACTCGCTGATATTATTGTAAAATGTAGGCATTGAAATAATAGTAACAATAATAATAATAAAAATAATTGTCTATTCGCACACAAAACGGTTTTTATTCGCGCCTATTCGTAATACGCCATGTTTTCTATTGAAGTAAAAAAATCAATTTATATACTTCGCTTACGTGATGTACTACATATAGTATACAATAAAATATTATGTTATAATAATAATAATGCAACAATGATTATAAATAATATCTGCATATTAAACAAGCAATTGTCTTTTTATAATAGTTTAAACAAATAAAACTATAACCAATAATGCACATTGACCTATCGAAATGATATTGAAATCATTTTATTTTCCTACTCTCATTCACCTAAATACAGAATATAATTATCTTATGAAATATTTAATAAAAAATACTTTCTTGAAAAAGTAGTATTTCTTTTTTGTGTATAAGTTGAAAATAACTGTTCTAAATTTTTCTAAATTTGCGTTGTAAAATTATTTTTAAATGGCATTCACTTAATATAATGATTAAAAATCATTTTTTATTGATTTATATTTTAAGCATTTTGTTATAAAAATAAAATAATCAATATTTACTAACAATTCAAATCCTTATTTTACAAACGACATTAGTGTATAATATAAAAATAAATAAATAATTTAAAATAAAGAAAGTACATCATTATTCTTGAATAAAATTAAAGGTATGATCGTTAGTCCTCGTTTTTTTTTTCTGTCGGGATAATGATTAGTTAGTGAGGTAAGCCATGACCATAATATTATATTAATAGTCATCTACTATTTATTTACAATGTGTTTATTTAAATTAGTTTATAATCAGAAACATATAATAGTCAAAAATAGATAGTGGCGATAGTGCGTGAACAATACAAAGAAACAATAGGTAAAAAACTAAATAAGTAAATTTAATAATATCATATTATTTTAAATCAAGTTATTAACGATTAAAAAAAAAAAAAAAAAATTATTTTATAAAAACTAATTTAACAATGTAATACAATTATTCATCTAGTACATTTTAACTAATATCTGATGTGTTTTTATATTTTGATTAAATAGTGGTAATTAGATAAGCTTACGGCATGATTTTAAATTATTTTAACTTTTGAAAAGTATAAAATAATAAAATAAAATGTATACAAATTTAAAGAATATCAATAAATATAATAAAGAATAAGTATAAAATTATTCTGAAATAAAATAGACAAAATATTTTGAATTAAACAAGTAATATCTTGTAGCATGGAAAAATGGTATTATGTATAAAAATAAATATGTATGATAGTTTGACAATTGACATTCCAAAACAAGTTGTTTGAACTCTGAGCAGTGTTTTATTATAACCTCTACAACTTAAACTCTATTTTAAACTTCATTAATAACCAGTTTTGATGTTGTATTTTATTTGACCAATGATGAATGAACAATAATTATTATTAAAGAACGTATTTTCGACTTGAAAATTTTCTGTTTGGATTTCTGTTGTATTTCCTATTTTCTATTATTCTCGTAGACGTCTACATAATATATTAAAATCATGATGCGCACTTAATTGCATACTGAAGTATACAATGTCGTAAGCACTCAACAAGGCACAGCGTTTTTATTTAACTACACGGTGACAATTTTCTATCCGTTTGTGATTTATAACTGTAGGGATGTCACGTAAATGTAAAAACCTGAAAATCGTGATAAAAATAATGTTCTTATAACATTTAAACACAGATGATACAACTACAGCCTCAATAGAACATTAAACGATAATAATTTATCAGTAAATATTATAGGTATATTTATTTTTATCAATATAGGCTAATTTAGCGTTTTTATGTATTAAACACAAAAACAGAAATATATTATAGTGAATATACAGCACAAAATGTATAATTGACACAAAAAGTAACAGAAAGAGAGACCATTCAATGGTAGATCTTACTAACTGAAGTTATAAATTATTTAGGTTAATTGTTGGTTTGTTGATTTGTAAGAGATCATATTGTAGTATCGACCTTTCTTTTTAAACTTCAAACTAGGCTATTTGCCATCTGGTAATGTAATTGTTGTAAGATTCGAAATTAATAATATGTTTATGTGAGATATTTGAATATACGAATAAGTAGTAATCAATATGTATATATTTAAATCCAGAAATAATGCATTCAATACTTCCGACATTTCTATTTACAACGTATATATTATATTCGATTATTTTTTTTTCTTCTATAAAAACAATAATTTTTACAAGTGTTTAAATTACGAGTCCTAAATTAGGAAAATATTAACTTATTTTTAACATCATATTATAAATTATAATGGAAAAAATGTAACTCGTTATAATATGTTATACTTAGTTAAAATTAATTTAACTTGGGCCCTGGTAAATGTATATGTATATATGTATGTATAAATGCACGTTTTATTTTACCACTATAATTATTACTAAAATTCGGTCGTCTAAGTTTCCGAGTTCAAACAATTATTAAAATACCTTCGGTTTA